CTCTGCCTCTTCTGTTGTATAGAAGTAGCTCTCTGCCTCTTCTGTTTTATAGAAGTAGCTCTCTGCCTCTTCTGTTGTATAGAAGTAGCTCTCTGCCTCTTCTGTTGTATAGAAGTAGTTCTTTGCCTCTTCTGTTTTATAGAAGTAGCTCTCTGCCTCTTCTGTTGTATAGAAGTAGCTCTCTGCCTCTTTTGTTGTATAGAAGTAGCTCTCTGCCTCTTCTGTTGTATAGAAGTAGCTCTCTGCCTCTTCTGTTTTATAGAAGTAGCTCTCTGCCTCTTCTGTTGTATAGAAGTAGCTCTCTGCCTCTTCTGTTGTATAGAAGTAGTTCTTTGCCTCTTCTGTTTTATAGAAGTAGCTCTCTGCCTCTTCTGTTGTATAGAAGTAGCTCTCTGCCTCTTCTGTTTTATAATAATAATAATAATAATGCATCGGTTTTATATAGCGCTTTTCTGGACACTCAAAGACGCTTCACATGTGTCATTATTCATTCACTCCATACACGGTGGTGATAAACTACTGCTGTAGCCACAGCTGCCCTGGGGCACACTGACAGAAGCGAGGCAACCAGTATGCGCCATCGGCCCCTCCGACCACCACCAACGATTCACACACACACCAGACTCATTCTAGGCAATGGGGGTGAAGTGTCTTGCCTAAGGACACAACGGCAGTTTGGCACTTTACAGCCGCAGCCGCCCCACTGTGGCTGGTGTTCCCAGAGGTTAAGTGTCTTGCCAAGGACACAATGACAGTAGTCAGAGGGAGTCGATGGTGAAAGTCTTGAGCGGGGCTTGAACCCACGACCTTCTGGCTCAAAGGCCAAAGCTCTACCAACTGAGCTACTGCCGCCCGTCTGTGTTATAGAAGTAGCTCTCTGCCTCTTCTGTTGTATAGAAGTAGTTCTTTGCCTCTTCTGTTTTATAGAAGTAGCTCTCTGCCTCTTCTGTTGTATAGAAGTAGCTCTCTGCCTCTTCTGTTGTATAGAAGTAGCTCTCTGCCTCTTCTGTTTTATAGAAGTAGCTCTCTGCCTCTTCTGTTGTATAGAAGTAGCTCTCTGCCTCTTCTGTTTTATAGAAGTAGCTCTCTGCCTCTTCTGTTGTATAGAAGTAGCTCTCTGCCTCTTCTGTTGTATAGAAGTAGCTCTCTGCCTCTTCTGTTGTGTAGAAGTAGCTCTCGGCCTCTTCTGTTGTATAGAAGTAGCTCTCTGCCTCTTCTGTTGTATAGAAGTAGCTCTCTGCCTCTTCTGTTGTGTAGAAGTAGCTCTCGGCCTCTTCTGTTGTATAGAAGTAGCTCTCTGCCTCTTCTGTTGTATAGAAGTAGCTCTCTGCCTCTTCTGTTGTATAGAAGTAGCTCTCTGCCTCTTCTGTTTTATAGAAGTAGCTCTCTGCCTCTTCTGTTGTATAGAAGTAGCTCTCTGCCTCTTCTGTTGTATAGAAGTAGCTCTCTGCCTCTTCTGTTGTATAGGTGTAGCTCTCTGCCTCTTCTGTTTTATAGAAGTAGCTCTCTGCCTCTTCTGTTGTATAGAAGTAGCTCTCTGCCTCTTCTGTTGTATAGAAGTAGCTCTCTGCCTCTTCTGTTGTATAGAAGTAGCTATAATCAAATAGCTACAAACTCAATAATAAGACCTAATTAATAATACTGCAATAATAATTATTCACTAATAATACCTCATTCATAATAATTCAATAATAACTCATTCATAATAAGTCATTAATTATATTATATTATAAATATAAGTCAATAATAATAACTCATTCATAATAACGTATTTATAATAACACATTAATAATTCCTCATTAATAAGAACTCATTCATAATAACTCATGAATAATACCTTATTAATAATTCCTCATGAATGATACCTCATTAATAATTCCTCATGAATAATAACTGGTTCATTAGTGCAGGTGACAGGGTGCGGTGTGAGAGGCTGCAGTGTGGCGAGCACAGATTGTGTAGTGGATTTAGACGTTAATCTTGTGGTGAAGGAGATAATACCTGCAGCTCAGAGGGACGCAGCGTGGCCCCCTGCTGGACACAGATAAACCTGCAGCTCAGAGGGATGCAGCGTGGCCCCCTGCTGGACACAGATAAACCTGCAGCTCAGAGGGACGCAGCGTGGCCCCCTGCTGGACACAGATAAACCTGCAGCTCAGAGGGACGCAGCGTGGCCCCCTGCTGGACACAGATAAACCTGCAGCTCAGAGGGACGCAGCGTGGCCCCCTGCTGGACACAGGCTGCCATGGCCCGGCTCTCAGGCCAACAACACACATTCAAAGTTAGAATTTACACTTAAGATAATGCTAACGATGATAATGATAAATAATTTGAGATGAAGAGATCCTTTATTGTTCCCACTGCGGGGAAATGTCAGTGTTGTATCACACAGTTACACAACAGTAGAATGAGGAGCACACAACACAAGGTAAAAGAACAATAACTCTGTACTATAGTGTAATAAAATCTCTAACTTTAGCAAAATAAAGAAGCAGTATAAAAAATATCTAATGGTCATGGGTTTGATCCCATCACCTCCTGACGTCTGCTGTTGTTGTGTCCCTGGGCAAGACCAAGTGTCTGTGTGTGCTTTGCCTGAATCCCCATCGAAGCAGCCATTCTCCTGTGTGTGTGTGTGTGTATGTATCTCTGTGTGTGTGTGTACCTCTGTGTGTGTGTGTACCTCTGTGCACGCGTGTGTGTACCTCTCTGTGCATATGTGTGTGAACCTCTATGTGTGCGTGTGTACCTCTGTGCGTGTGTGTACCTTTGTACATGTGTACCTCTGTGTGTGTGTGTACCTCTGTGCGTGTGTGTTTGTGTGTACTTCTGTGTGTGTTTTCTTCTGTGTGTGTGTGTACTTCTGTGTGTGTACCTCTGTGTGTGTTTGTGTGTACCTCTGTGTGTGTGTGTGTGTATGTATGTACCTCTATGTGTGTATGTGTGCGTGTACCTCTGCGCATGTGTGTGTGTACCTCTGTGTGTGTGTACCTCTGCGCGTATGTGTATGTGTACCTCTGTGTGTGTGTGTATATGTGTGTACCTCTGTTTGTGTATGTGTGTGTACCTGTGTGTGTGCGTGTGTGTGTACCTCTGTGTGTTTGTATCTCTTTGTGTGTATGTACCTCTATGTGTGTGTACCTCTGTGTGTGTGCGTGTGTGTGTGTATGTGTGTGTGTACCTCTGTGTGTGTATGTGTGTGTGTTCCTCTGTGTGTGTATGTGTGTGTACCTCTGTGTGTGTATGTGTGTACCTCTGTGTGTATGTGTGTGTGTGTATGTGTGTGTGTACCTCTGTGTGTATGTGTGTGTGTTTGTGTACCTCTGTGTGTATGTGTGTGTGTGTGTGTGTGTGTGTGTGTATGTGTGTGTACCTCTGTGTGTATGTGTGTGTATGTATGTGTACCTCTGTGTGTATTTGTGTGTGTACCTCTGTGTGTATTTGTGTGTGTACCTCTGTGTGTGTATGTATGTGTACCTCTGTGTGTGTGTGTATATGTGTGTACCTCTGTTTGTGTATGTGTGTGTACCTGTGTGTGTGCGTGTGTGTGTACCTCTGTGTGTTTGTATCTCTTTGTGTGTATGTACCTCTATGTGTGTGTACCTCTGTGTGTGTGCGTGTGTGTGTGTATGTGTGTGTGTACCTCTGTGTGTGTATGTGTGTGTGTTCCTCTGTGTGTGTATGTGTGTGTACCTCTGTGTGTGTATGTGTGTACCTCTGTGTGTATGTGTGTGTGTGTATGTGTGTGTGTACCTCTGTGTGTATGTGTGTGTGTTTGTGTACCTCTGTGTGTATGTGTGTGTGTGTGTGTGTGTATGTGTGTGTACCTCTGTGTGTATGTGTGTGTATGTATGTGTACCTCTGTGTGTATTTGTGTGTGTACCTCTGTGTGTGTATGTATGTGTACCTCTGTGTGTGTATGTGTGTGTACCTATGTGTGTATGTGTGTGTGTACCTCTGTGTGTATGTGTGTGTGTGTGTATACCTCTGTGTGTATGTGTGTGTGTGTGTGTGTGTGTATGTGTGTGTACCTCTGTGTGTATGTGTGTGTATGTATGTGTACCTCTGTGTGTATTTGTGTGTGTACCTCTGTGTGTGTGTGTATGTGTACCTCTGTGTGTATGTGTGTGTGTGTGTATGTGTGTGTACCTCTGTGTGTATGTGTGTGTATGTATGTGTACCTCTGTGTGTATTTGTGTGTGTACCTCTGTGTGTGTATGTATGTGTACCTCTGTGTGTGTATGTGTGTGTACCTCTGTGTGTGTGTGTATGTGTACCTCTGTGTGTGTATTTGTGTGTGTACCTCTGTGTGTGTGTGTATGTGTACCTCTGTGTGTATTTGTGTGTGTACCTCTGTGTGTGTATGTATGTGTACCTCTGTGTGTGTGTATGTGTACCTCTGTGTGTGTATGTGTGTGTACCTCTGTGTGTGTATGTATGTGTACCTCTGTGTGTGTATTTGTGTGTGTACCTCTGTGTGTGTGTGTATGTGTACCTCTGTGTGTGTATGTGTGTGTACCTCTGTGTGTACCTCTGTGTGTGTATGTATGTGTACCTCTGTGTGTGTATGTGTGTGTACCTCTGTGTGTGTGTGTATGTGTACCTCTGTGTGTGTATGTGTGTGTACCTCTGTGTGTACCTCTGTGTGTGTATGTGTGTGTACCTCTGTGTGTGTATGTATGTGTGTGTATGTATGTGTACCTCTGTGTGTGTATGTGTGTGTACCTCTGTGTGTACCTCTGTGTGTGTATTTGTGTGTGTACCTCTGTGTGTGTGTGCATGTGTACCTCTGTGTGTGTATGTGTGTGTACCTCTGTGTGTGTATGTGTGTGTACCTCTGTGTGTATGTGTGTGTATGTGTGTGTGTACGTGTGTGTGTACCTCTGTGTGTATGTGTGTGTGTAGGTGTGTGTATGTGTGTGTACCTCTGTGTGTGTGTATGTGTGTGTACGTGTGTAGATCCGTGTTCTTCTTTCCTCAGACTTGCTGTGTTCCTCAGAGCGCCGTGATGCTGAGTCTGGTGGAGCGTCTGCTGTGCTGCGTCAGCTCCCAGGCCTCGGTCGTCCCAGAGGATTCCTCCGAGCGCTCCGAGGACGGCTACGAGTTTGTGGAAGTGAAGCCGGGGCGAGTGCTGCGCGTCCGCCACATCGTCCCGGAGCGCCCCCTGGTGGAGGAGGTGAGCGCGGCGCAGGGCGGGCTGGTCAGCTGCAAGAGGAAGATCACCGTCTACCGCAACGGCCAGCTCTACATCGAGAACCTGGGGGAGGGCGGGGGGGCGGAGCTGCGGCGCGGCGGGGGCGGGGACGAGGCCAACAGCGCCGCCGAGGTGGAGCTCACGGACGGGAAAAGCAGCCCAACCCCACCACCCACCGAGCCCCCCCACTGTGGCAAAGACAAAGGAGGAGGAGGTGGAGGAGGAGGAGGTGGAGGAGGAGGTGGAGGAGGAGGAGGTGGAGGAGGAGGAGAAGGTGGAGGAGAGGAGCAGGTACAGGGACAGACTGGGAGAGGGTTTGGGGGTAAAAGGTTCTCTGGGTTAGGAACAATCTCTCTCTGGTCTCTCTCTAGTCTCTCTCTCTAGTCTCTCTCTCTAGTCTCTCTCTCTCTGGTCTCTCTCTCTGGTCTCTCTCTGGTCTCTCTCTAGTCTCTCTCTCTAGTCTCTCTCTCTGGTCTCTCTCTCTGGTCTCCCTCTCTCTAGTCTCTCTCTCTGGTCTCTCTCTCTGGTCTCTCTCTAGTCCAGGGGTGCCCAAAAGGCTCATGGGAGATTCTCTCAAATTGATGTGAACCATGAGTGAGGCATGTATCTGGATACATCAGTAAAGCACTGGACACTATTTTCATGGGTAGATGCTAGGCGGCCCAATTTAAATGGTACGGCGGGCAAACTTTGGTCCGCGGGCCCCACTTTGGGCACCCCTGCTCTAGTCTCTTTCTGGTCCAGGAGTGTGACGATACCCAGTGCCTTGCGAAAGTATTCGGCCCACTTGAACCTTTCAACATTTTGCCACATTTCAGGCTTCAAACATAAAGATATAAAAAAAATTATTTTTTGTCAAGAATCAACAACAAGTGGGACACAATCGTGAAGTGGAACAACATTTATTGGATTATTTAAACTTTTTTAACAAATATAAAACTGAAAAGTGGGGCGTGCAATATTATTCGGCCCCTTGCGCTAATACTTTGTAGCGCCACCTTTTGCTGCAATTACAGCTGCAAGTCGCTTGGGGTATGTCTCTATCAGTTTTGCACATTGAGAGACTGGAATTCTTGCCCATTCTTCCTTGCAAAACAGCTGGAGCTCAGTGGGGTTGGACGGAGAGCGTTTGTGAACAGCAGTCTTCAGCTCTTTCCACAGATTCTCGATTGGATTCAGGTCTGGACTTTGACTTGGCCATTCTAACACCTGGATACGTCTATTTGTGAACCATTCCATTGTAGATTTGGCTTTATGTTTTGGATCATTGTCCTGTTGGAAGATAAATCTCCGTCCCAGTCTCAGGTCTTTTGCAGACTCCAACAGGTTTTCTTCCAGAATGGTCCTGTATTTGGCTCCATCCATCTTCCCATCCATTTTAGCCATCTTCCCTGTCCCTGCTGAAGAAAAGCAGGCCCAAAGCATGATGCTGCCACCCCCATGTTTGACAGTGGGGATGGTGTGTTCAGGGTGATGAGCTGTGTTGCTTTTACGCCAAACATATCGTTTTGCATTGTGGCCAAAAAGTTCGATTTCGGTTTCATCTGACCAGAGCACCTTCTTCCGCATGTTTGGTGTGTCTCCCAGGTGGCTTGTGGCAAACTTTAAACAAGACTTTTTATGGATATCTTTGAGAAATGGCTTTCTTCTTGCCACTCTTCCATAAAGGGCAGATTTGTGCAGTGCACAACTGATTGTTGTCCTATGGACAGACTCTCCCACCTCAGCTGTAGTTATCTGCAGTTCATTCAGAGTGATCATGGGCCTCTTGGCTGCATCTCTGATCAGTCTTCTCCTTGTTTGAGATGAAAGTTTGGAGGGACGGCCGGGTCTTGGTAGATTTGCAGTGGTCTGATGCTCCTTCCATTTCAATATAATTGCTTGCACAGTGCTCCTTGAGATGTTTAAAGCTTGGGAAATGTTTTTGTATCCAAATCCGGCTTTAAACTTCTCCACAACAGTATCTCGGACCTGCCTGGTGTGTTCCTTTGTCTTCATGGTTCTCTCTGTGCTTTAAACAGAACCCTGAGACTATCAAAGAGCAGGTGCATTTATACGGAGACTTGATTACACACAGGTGCATTCTATTTATCATCATCAGTCATTTAGGACAACATTGGATCATTCAAAGATCCTCACTGAACTTCTGGACTGAGATTTGCAGCACTGAAAGTAAAGGGGCCGAATAATATTGCACGCCCCACTTTTCAGTTTTTTATTTGTTAAAAAAAGTTTAAATTATCCAATAAATTTCGTTCCACTTCACGATTGTTGTTGTTGATTCATGACAAAAAAATTAAAATTGTATATCATTATATACGAGACGAATACTTTCGCAAGGCACTGTATCAATATAACGATACATCGTGATACTTTCTCCCGCGATCGATTATCGATATGTATTTCTAAGGTGTCGATTTTGAAAAAACAAAAAAAATTTCAATTAGTATCAATACTTAAAATATGGCTACATTACACATCCCCATTCCATTTATCATGAAATAAAGAGTATTTTTTCACTTAAAATTTGTCTTTTATTTATACCATAAATTGGCATGTGGTATATTTCTGACCAATATATCAATAATCGTCATATCGTGATATTATCGTTATCGTGAGCTTTGTATCGCGTATCCTATTGTATCGTGAGGTACCCTGAGGTTCCCACCCCTACTCTGGTCTCTCTCTGGTCTCTCTCTGGTCTCTCTCTGGTCTCTCTCTTTGGTCTCTCTCTGGTCTCTCTCTGGTCTCTCTCTGGTCTCTCTCTTTGGTCTCTCTCTGGTCTCACTCTCTGGTCTCTCTCTGGTCTCTCTCTTTGGTCTCTCTCTGGTCTCTCTCTGGTCTCTCTCTGGTCTCTCTCTTTGGTCTCTCTCTGGTCTCTCTCTTTGGTCTCTCTCTGGTCTCTCTCTGGTCTCTCTCTTTGGTCTCTCTCTGGTCTCTCTCTGGTCTCTCTGGTTTCTCTCTCTAGTCTGTCTTTAGTCTCTCTCTGGTCTCTCTCTGGTCTCTCTCTAGTCTTTCTTTAGTCTCTCTCTGGTCTCTGGTTTCTCTCTCTTGTGTGATTGTGTTTCTATACTCCAGCCCTGATCGTTCCCTTCTGTATGACCCGTGCTAACCCAATAACCTCGCCGCTGTCCCTCCCCAGCCCCCGCAGCCCCCGCAGCCCCCTCACCCCGGTGTCCGGTCGAAGCCGCGGCGGCGTAAACCCAAACGCACCATCATCATCGACTGCGAGCGGCGGGTGACGGCGTGCAGAGGGACCCACGGGGACCTGGCGCTGTTCTTCATCCATGGAGTGGGGGGGTCCCTGGACATTTGGGGGGCGCAGATGGACTTCTTTTCTCGTCTGGGGTACGAGGTGATTGCCCCGGACCTGACGGGACACGGCGCCAGCTCTGCCCCTCAGGTCCCCGCCGCCTACACCTTCTACGCTCTGGCAGAGGACGTCCGCATCATCTTCAAGAGATACGCCAAGAAGAGGAACGTGCTGGTGGGACACTCGTACGGGTGAGGGACCGGACTGGACCGGACCGGACCAGACTGGACTGGACCAGACCGGACTGGACCGGACCAGACTGGACTGGACCAGACCGGACTGGACCGGACCAGACTGGACTGGACTGGACCAGACTGGACTGGACTGGACTGGACTATTTTTTTAATCATTATTTTCAGTTCTATTCTATTGTGTATTGCCCTAAATAACTTCAGTGGTTTCTCTGATAAGCTGTCGATTCTTCAACACAGATCAGAGAATCTAAACGCAAACATACAACATCTCTCTCTGATCTCTCTCTGGTCTCTCTCTGGTCTCTGGTCTTCCTGGTCCCTCTCCTCCCTGACGTACCATGTGTCCTCAGGGTGTCGTTCTGTACCTTCCTGGCGCATGAGTACCCAGAGCAGGTCCATAAGATGGTGATGATAAACGGAGGAGGCCCCACGGCGCTGGAGCCCAGTGTCTGCTCCGTCTTCAGCCTTCCCACCTGCGTCCTGCACTGCCTCTCCCCCCTGCTCTCCTGGAGCTTCCTCAAGTACGGTCTGGACCCAGGACTGAGGCTGTGGACCCAGGACTGAGGCTGTAGACCCAGGACTGAGGCTGTAGATCCAGGACTGAGGCTGTAGACCCAGGACTGAGGCTGTAGACCCAGGACTGAGGCTGTAGACCCAGGACTGATGCTGTAGACCCAGGACTGAGGCTGTAGACCCAGGACCGAGGCTGTAGACCCAGGACTGAGACTCTAGACCCAGGACTGATGCTGTAGACCCAGGACTGAGGCTGTAGACCCAGGACCGAGGCTGTAGACCCAGGACTGAGGCTACTTTTCTGATCTAAAATATAAACCATGCCTGTTTCATTTTTAAGCCATGCTAATCACTTCAAACATGTGCGTGTGAACTTAGATAGCACACAGATAGTCAACTCAGTCCTGGTTTGATGAATTTAGAAGCACGGCTAACCACTTCAAACGTGTATCCATGAACTTAACTGTATCTTCACTCTTTAAGATAATATTTAATTATCTAAATAACCCGGTCTCCGCAGGGCCGGCTTTGCTCGTCAGGGGTCGAAGGAGAAGCAGCTGCTGCGAGAGACCAACGCCTTCAACGTGTCGCCGCTGGTGCTACGGGCCATGATGGGCGGACAGTACTGGCCCGAGGGAGACGAGGTGTACCATGCAGAGGTCACCGCCCCCACGCTGCTGGTCCACGGCATGCACGACAAGTTCGTACCAGTGGAGGAGGACCAGCGGATGGCCGAGGTCTGAGTGTGTGTCTGTGGTCTCTGGTCTCTCTCTGGTCTGTCTCTGGTCTCTCTGGTGTCTCTCTGGTCTCTCTCTCTGGTCTCTTTCTCTGGTCTCCCTCTGGTCTCTCTGGTCTCTCTCTGGTCTCTCTCTGGCCTCGCTCTGGTGTTTCTCTGGTGTATCTCTGGTCTCTCTCTGGTCTGTCTCTGGTCTCTCTGGTCTCTTTCTCTGGTCTCCCTCTGGTCTCTCTGGTCTCTCTCTGGTCTCTCTCTGGCCTCGCTCTGGTGTTTCTCTGGTGTATCTCTGGTCTCTCTCTGGTCTCTCTCTTTGGTCTCTCTCTAGTCTCTCTCTGGTCTCTCTCTGGTCTCTTTCTGGCCTCGCTCTGGCGTCTCTCTGGTGTCTCTCTGGTCTCTCTCTCTGGTCTCTCTCTGGTCTCTCTCTGGTCTCTCTCTCTGGTGTCTCTCTGGTCTCTCTCTGGTCTCTCTCTCTGGTCTTTCTCTCTAGTCTCTCTCTGGTCTCTCTCTGGTCTCTCTCTGGCCTCTCTCTGGTCTCTCTCTCTGGTCTCTCTCTGGTCTCTCTCTGGCCTCTCTCTGGTCTCTCTCTGGTCTCTCTCTGGTCTCTCTTTGGTCTCTCTCTGGTCTCTCTCTGGTCTTTCTCTGGTCTCTCTCTCTCTGGCCTCTCTCTGGTCTCTCTGGTCTCTCTCTAGTCTCTCTCTAGTCTCTCTCTCTGGTCTCTCTCTCTGGTCTCTCTCTGGTCTCTCTCTCTGGTCTCTCTCTGGTCTCTCTCTGGTCTCTCTCTGGTCTCTCTCTGGTCTCTCTCTCTGGTCTCTCTCTCTGGTCTCTCTCTGGTCTCTCTCTCTGGTCTCTCTCTCTGGTCTTTCTCTGGTCTCTCTCTGGTCTCTCTCTCTCTGGTCTCTCTCTGGTCTCTCTCTCTGGTCTCTCTCTCTGGTCTCTCTCTCTGGTCTTTCTCTGGTCTCTCTCTGGTCTCTCTCTGGTCTCTTTGGTCTCTCTCTGTTTTCATCCATGTTTTCAGTGTGAATCAACCGGCTGTACAGGGAAGATCAATGGCATCTGTGTGTTTGAATGCACATTGAGAGTATAGAGAGACCAGAGAGAGAGACCAGAAAGAGAGACCAGAGAGAGAGACCAGGGGAAGACCAGAGAGAGACCAGGGGGAGACCAGAGAGAGACCAGGGGGAGACCAGAGAGAGAGCAGAAAGAGAGACCAGAGAGAGACCAGAGAGAGAGACCAAAGAGGGATCAGAGAGAGAAATTAGAGAGAGACCAGAGAGAAACCAGAGATAGACACAAGAAAGAGACCAGAAAGAAACTAGAGAGTGAGACCAGGGTCAAGAGAGAGACCCCTGCACAGACAGGAGGGGTTTGCGTACGTACTTATGGTGTTAGTCTGATCCCTTCTGGACAAAGAAGGGATTACATCGACGTGTTTCTAGGAAAACCTGGATTTCTCCTGAGCCTCTTTCACACCAGTCCCATTAATCCTGTCTCCACCTTTGGTCCTGGTTCTCCCTTTACAGTTTTCTCACATAGTGGACGTTGTAGGAACCAAAATTGTCTGTCTTTCAGTTAGCTGGAAAGGTGGCCACCTGGTCTCTCTCGGGTCTCTCTCTGGCTTCTCCCGCCGGTCCCTCTGGTCCCTCTGGTCCCTCTGGTCCCTCTCTCTGGTCTCTCTAGTATCTCTCTGGATACCTTCTGGTCCCTCTGGTCTCTATCTACTGCTCTCTCTCTGGTCTCTCTCTGGTGTCTCTCTGGTGTCTCTCTGGTCTCCCTCTGGTCTCTCTCTGCTTGTCTCTCTCTCTGGTCTCGCTATCTCGGGTCTCTCTCTGGTCTCTCTCTGGTGTCTCTCTGGTCTCCCTCTGGTCTCTCTCTGCTTGTCTCTCTCTGGTCTCGCTATCTCGGGTCTCTCTCTGGTTTTCCTTTGATCTCTCTCCCTGGTCTCTCTTTGGTCGCTCTCTGGTCTCTCTCTGGTCTCCCTCTTGTCCCTCTGGTGTCTCTCTGGTCTCCCTCTGGTCTCTCTCTGGTCTCTCTCTGGTCTCTCTCTGGTCTCTCTCTGGTCTCTCTCTGGTCTCCCTCTGGTCTCTCTCTGGTCTCCCTCTGGTCTCTCTCTGTTCTCTCTCTAGTTTCTTTCTGATCTTTCTCTGCTCTCTCTCTCTGGTCCCTCTCTTCTGGTCTCTCTTAGTCTCTCTCAGGTCTCTCACTAGTCACTCTCTGGTATCTCTCGCTCTCTTTCTGGTCTCTGTCTGGTCTCTCTCTGGTCCTAACCAAATCCTGGTCCCTATGCTCAGATCTTGCTGATGGCGTTCCTGAAGGTCCTGGAGGACGGGAGTCACATGGTGATGATGGAGTGTCCAGAGACCGTAAACACCCTTCTGTACGAGTTCCTCCTTTGGGAACCCCTCACGCCACCGCCCAGACCCACCACGGCCATCAGGGGGCGCCCAGAGACCGCCCGGACCCAAAGGGACAACCCCAGAGCCGAGCGCGAGGACCGGGCCTCCAACAGCACCTCGTAGGCCTCAGGACGGGGGCGGGACTCCCTCTGCTCACTCACATGGTGTCAGCGATAACCCAGAGAGAGAGAGACCAGAGAGAGAGCAGAGTGAGACCAGAGAGAGAGACCAGAGAGAGAGACCAGAGAGAGACCAGAGAGAAAGCAGAGAGACTAGAGAGACCAGAGGGACCAGAGAGAGACCAGAGAGAGACCAGAAAGAGACCAGAGAGAGACTAGAGAGAGACCAGAGAGAGACCAGAGAGAGAGACCAGAGAGAGAGACTAGAGAGAGACCAGAGAGAGACCAGAGAGAGACCAGAGAGAGACCAGAGAGAGACCAGAGAGAGAGAGACCAGAGAGAGAACAGAGAGAGACCAGAGAGAGACCAGAGAGAGAGAGACCAGATTCTGGACATGGATTGTTGAAGTCTAACTCAATGTAAGCCTGAGTAAATCCGGGTCTGGACTCAGACAGGTCTGGACTCAGACAGGTCTGAACGATGGTGAAACGACGAGGCTTCTGCACCAGCCGTGCCTTGAGGTCCCACAGAGACTCGGATCCGAACGGTTCTGATCCGAGTGTTTCTAGAGTGACCCAAAGATCATCGTGAACTGCAGCGTGAGACCTGCTCCTCGCGGTTTAATAAAGTTGTTCCAGAATCTTCCGTGTCCACCGCTGGAGTCTGTTATTCCTCATTTGCATTTGTGACTTTTTATCGACATGAAAAGATCAAACTATTATTTTCATGAGTTTGAATATTAAAAACTTTTAAAATAAATATATTTCTTTGAACATAGGTTTCTCTCTGTGTGTTTAATGTTTGTGATGTCAGCGCTGTGATTGGTCAATGGCTTTAAAATGAATGTATGAATGTATAACGTGAGCCCAGACAGTGGGGGCCGCTCCGATGTCCACCGCGGGCCGCCACTGGCTCGCGGGCCGCATGTTGAGACCTCTGCTGTACAGTGTTTCCAAAGCAACATCAACAACATGAGTTCAGGCAAGGCGAGTTTAATTGTATAGCACACTTCATACACGTTCACTTTTACATAAATAACTTGAACAGAGAAGGAGCCTGTCTCACGTTCAGAAAAGGAGCCTGTCTCACGCTCAGAGAAGGAGCCTGTCTCACACTCAGAGAAGGAGCCTGTCTCACGCTCAGAGAAGGAGCCTGTCTCACTCTCAGAGAAGGAGCCTGTCTCACGCTCAGAGAAGGAGCCTGTCTCACGCTCAGAGAAGGAGCCTGTCTCACGCTCAGAGAAGGAGCCTGTCTCACTCTCAGAGAAGGAGCCTGTCTCACTCTCAGAGAAGGAGCCTGTCTCACGCTCAGAGAAGGAGCCTGTCTCACGCTCAGAGAAGGAGCCTGTCTCACGCTCAGAGAAGGAGCCTGTCTCACGCTCAGAGAAGGAGCCTGTCTCACTCTCAGAGAAGGAGCCTGTCTCACGCTCAGAGAAGGAGCCTGTCTCACGCTCAGAGAAGGGGCCTGTTCTCTATTCTATTCTAGAAATGTTTCTTCTCTAGTCCCTCTTGGTCCTGGTTCTACCCAGGCCGAGCTGGTACTAAAGTGTTCTAACTGACAGTGATTGGCCAGGAGCCTGTCTCACGCTCAGAGAAGGGGCCTGTCTCACGCTCAGAGAAGGAGCCTGTCTCACGCTCAGAGAAGGAGCCTGTCTCACGCTCAGAGAAGGAGCCTGTCTCACGCTCAGAGAAGGAGCCTGTCTCACGCTCAGAGAAGGAGCCTGTCTCACTCTCAGAGAAGGAGCCTGTCTCACTCTCAGAGAAGGGGCCTGTCTCACGTTCAGAGAAGGAGCCTGTCTCACGCTCAGAGAAGGAGCCTGTCTCACGCTCAGAGAAGGAGCCTGTCTCACGCTCAGAGAAGGAGCCTGTCTCACTCTCAGAGAAGGAGCCTGTCTCACTCTCAGAGAAGGGGCCTGTCTCACGTTCAGAGAAGGAGCCTGTCTCACGCTCAGAGAAGGAGCCTGTCTCACTCTTTCAAGGGGTCTGATGAGGGTCTGCTCCTGACACAGAATAATAAATACTAAACTCTCACTTGTAGAGAGCGATTTATATAAATGTTAAAAATCCAAATATTTCAGGAAAATGTCAAATTGTGCCAAAAAAACTTGTGTTTGAACCAAATGAAAAGGTTTAAGTCAAAACTAAGTTTGAAAACAGCAAAAACTGAATAAAATGAGAATCTTCTTTATTACACTTTTAAACTATGTAAAAATATGTTCTTTTTTTTTTACATCAAAAATATACAAACATTAAAAGCAAGCATCAGATAAGATTCTACTGCCTCCATTTCTCTGCTCTACCCTACCCTACACTACCCTGCCCTACTCTATTCTACTCTACTCTACCCTACACTACCCTACTCTACTCTACTCTACTCTATTCTACTCTACTCTACTCTACTCTACCCTACACTACCCTGCCCTACTCTATTCTACTCTACTCTACCCTACACTACCCTACCCTACCCTACACTACCCTGCCCTACTCTACTCTACTCTACTCTACCCTACCCTACCCTACCCTACCCTGCCCTACCCTACTCTACTCTACCCTACCCTACCCTCCCTACCCTACCCTACCCTACTACCCTACTCTACTCTACTCTACTCTACCCTACCCTACCCTACCCTGCCCTGCCCTGCCCTACCCTACCCTACTCTACTCTACTCTACTCTACTCTACTCTACTCTACCCTACCCTGCCCTGCCCTACTCTACTCTACTCTACTCTACTCTACCCTACCCTACCCTACTCTACCCTGCCCTACCCTACTCTACTCTACTCTACTCTACCCTACCCTGCCCTACCTTACTCTACCCTGCCCTACCCTGCCCTACCCTACCCTACCCTACTCTACTCTACTCTACCCTACCCTACCCTACCCTGCCCCTACTCTACTCTACTCTACCCTACCCTACCTTACTTTACTCTACTCTACTCTACTATACTCTACTCTACCCTACTCTACCATACTCTACCCTACCCTACTCTACCATACTCTACCATACTCTACCATACTCTACCGTACTCTACTGTACTCTACTGTTCTCTATTCTATTCTAGAAATGTTTCTTCTCTAGTCCCTCTTGGTCCTGGTTCTACCCAGGCCGAGCTGGTACTAAAGTGTTCTAACTGACAGTGATTGGCCAGAAGGCAGCTGGGAGACATGGTTACTAAGGATACTGTTTGTTGTTGGTTCGTTGGTTGCTCGGGAAAGCAAGTAGGTAGAGATGAGTAGACCTTTACAGCAGAGAGACCAGAGAGAGAGACCAGAGAGAGAGAATAGAGAGAGAGACCAGAGAGAGAGAATAGAGAGAGAGACCAGAGAGAGAGAATAGAGAGAGAGCAGAGAGAGATCAAATATTCAAATAGCTGATTCTCCCCAAGAAAATGTTCATTAAAAAATATACACATCCAAAATAAGAATAGAGATGAACTAGACTGTGATGTTGAGCTCACACTTCCATAGAGACTAACGGGGACGTGCTCTCTGGCTCCCCCTGCTGGCCGCTGCTCTCTGGCTTCCCCTGCTGGTTGCTGCTCTCTGGCTTCCCCTGCTGGTTGCTGCTCTCTGGCTCCCCCTTCTGGTCTGAGCTGGAGCTGTTCTCTTCAGGCTTCAAGGCCGTGGTTTCATCTATGATCTCCACAGAGTTAGATGGAGGAGCAGGAGGAGCAACAGCAGGAGCAGCAGCAGCAGGAGCTGCAGGGGCAGGAGCAGAGTTGGTCTTGACGTCTCCGTTCTGCGCTGGGAAAACAGCCTCCAGTGAGTCGTACAGGAACTGGTACTGGGCCTGTCCAGACACAAAGGGAGGAGAGTGACTGAGGTGAAGCTGTGTGTGTCTCTGTGTGTGCGTGTGTGTGTGTGTGTGTGTCTCTCTGTGTGTGTGTCTCTCTGTGTGTGTCTCTCTGTGTGTCTCTCTGTGTGTGTCTCTCTGTGTGTGTCTCTCTGTGTGTGTCTCTCTGTGTGTGTCTCTGTGTGTGTCTCTGTGTGTCTCTCTGTGTGTGTCTCTCTGTGTGTCTCTCTGTGTGTGTCTCTCTGTGTGTGTCTCTCTGTGTGTGTCTCTCTGTGTGTCTCTCTGTGTGTGTCTCTCTGTGTGTGTCTGTGTGTGTACCCACCAGGTCCTGGACCATGGCCTCTCTCTCCTTCCTCAGAGTCTTCACCGTCTGAAACACGTCCAGCAGTTTCTCTGTGTCTGCACTGTCCAACAGGCTCCACAGCGCCACCACCAGGCCACAGCGGCTCGAGCCGTCACTGCACACATACAGCTCAATACACTCAATTAAGGAAGCAGTAGTAGTAGTAGTAGAAGCAGTAGTAGTAGTAGTAGAAGCAGTAGTAGTAGTAGTAGAAGTAGTAGTAGTAGTAGAAGCAGTAGTAGTAGTAGTAGAAGTAGTAGTAGTAGTAGTAAGTAAGTTTTTATTTATATACCGCCTTTTCACTGCAGATCTGAGTCTCAAAGCGGTTTACAATTGTTAATTTTGGGCATTTGTCTCTCACTCCACACAGAGATGGGAGCGGGGCCAGTACAGGAGGCACATGCCAGAACTATTGGACATATTTTTAGTGGTAGGGGAAACCGGAGTACCCGGAGGAAACCTACGCAGACACGGGGAGAACATGCAAACTCCACTCAGAAAGGCCCTGGTCCAACCGGGATTCGAACCCAGGACCTTCTTGCTGAGAGGCGAGAGTGCTATCCACTCAGCCACCGTGCCGCCTGCCGTAGTAGTAGTAGAAGCAGTAGTAGTAGCAGTAGCAGTAGCAGTAGTAGAAGTAGTAGTAGTAGTAGTAGAAGTAGTAGTAGTTGACTCACTCGCAGTGGACCACAGCAGGGGTACTTCTCAGGACTTGACTCGGTCCACATTTGGTCCGCACTTCCCGTAGCATCTGGAGCAACTCCTGGGGGTTCTCCGGGACGCCCCCCTCCCCCCACCGCACAAACTCAAAATGTCTGACGGATCGATGCTCTTTCCTCTGCACAGAGAAGGATTTAGATAGGTTTCTACTCTACTCTACTCTACTCTACTCTACTCTACGTACTGTACTGTACTCTACTGTAATCTACTCTAATGAGCTCTACTGAACAGAGCGAGAACAGAGAGAAACCAGAGAGAGAGACCAGAGAGAGAGACCAGAGAGAGAGACCAGAGAGAGACCAGAGAGAGAGACCAGAGAGAGAGACCAGAGAGAGAGACCAGAGAGAGAGACCAGAGAGAGACCAGAGAGAGACCAGAGAGACCAGAGAGAGACCAGAGAGAGCTGGTAGTAGTGACACTGAGGGCCAATGATCTTTGAGGAATAAGAAAGACCATAATCCTGGTTGTGGTGAGTCCTGGTCTCACCTTGACGTGGCGGACGTTCATGGTGCGGCTGACGAACGCTGGACTAGTGTCTGTTGCCGTCACCTCCACCTCCACGTCTCCAAACAGGCTCTTCTCATTGGTCCAGTACACACAGCCCTGGCAACACAACATCCAATCAGATCGCATATTCAAATGTGGTGGTGCTGGTATGGTGCTGGTGTGGTGCTGGTGTGGTGTTGGTGTATTGTTGGTGTGCTGCTGGTATGGTGCTGGTGTGGTGCTGGTATGGTGCTGGTATGGTGCTGGTATGGTGCTGGTGTGGTGCTGGTGTGGTGCTGGTGTGATGCTGGTATGGTGCTGGTATGGTGCTGGTGTGGTGCTGGTGTGGTGCTGGTGTGGTGTTGGTGTATTGTTGGTGTGCTGCTGGTATGGTGCTGGTGTGGTGCTGGTATGGTGCTGGTATGGTGCTGGTATGGTGCTGGTGTGGTGCTGGTGTGGTGCTGGTGTGATGCTGGTATGGTGCTGGTATGGTGCTGGTGTGGTGCTGGTGTGGTGCTGGTATGATGCTGTATGGTGCTGCTGGTGCTGGTGTGGTGCTGGTATGGTGCTGGTGTGGTGCTGGTATGGTGCTGGTGTGGTGTTGGTTTGATGTTTCTGGTGTGTTGCTGGTGTGGTGTTGCTGGTGTGGTACCTGGTCCTGTTTGCTGGTTGAGAGCATGATGATGGTGGAGACTTTCTTCTGGTGAACCATGAGCCAGAAGTCTTGTGCCGTGTTGGAGAGCGGAGTCTGAGCCGCGATGAAGCAGCGCGAGCCCCAGTATCCCTGAGAGAGAGACACCATCAACAGACACCATCAACACCATACTGAGAGAGAGACACCATCAACACCATACTGAGAGAGAGACACCATCAACACCATACTGAGAGAGAGACACCATCAACACACTGAGAGAGAGACCATCAACACACTGAGAGAGAGACACCATCAACACACTGAGAGAGACACACCATCAACACACTGAGAGAGAGACCATCAACACACTGAGAGAGAGACACCATCAACACCATACTGAGAGAGAGACACCATCAACATACTGAGAGAGAGACACCATCAACACCATACTGAGAGAGAGAGAGAGAGAGACCATCAACACACTGAGAGAGAGAGACACCATCAACACCATACTGAGAGAGAGACACCATCAACACACTGAGAGAGAGAGACCATCAACATACTGAGAGAGAGACACCATCAACATACTGAGAGAGAGACACCATCAACATACTGAGAGAGAGAGACACCATCAACACCATACTGAGAGAGAGACACCATCAACACACTGAGAGAGAGACACCATCAACACCATACTGAGAGAGAGACACCATCAACATATTGAGAGAGAGAGAAACCATCAACACCATACTGAGAGAGAGACAGACCATCAACACACTGAGAGAGAGAGACACCATTAACACCATACTGAGAGCGAGAGACACCATCAACACCATACTGAGAGAGAGAGAGAGACACCATAAACACCATACTGAGAGAGAGAGAGACACCATAAACACCATACTGAGAGAGAGAGACACCATCAACACCATACTGAGAGAGAGAGAGACACCATCAACATACCGAGAGAAACTGTATAGTCCTCTTCACAGCTACTCTACTCTACTCTACTCTACTTACTTGATGCCTGTATCTTTTGAACAGAATACCATGTGACCCAGTTGCAGAGTTGATGAAGACTCACGCTGATGTGGGAGGCGTTGATGTACTTGGACGACTCCTCTTCATCATCAGAAGAATCCTCCTCCTCTTCCTCACTGTCATGGCTCCGCTCCTCCTCCAATTGCACCAGAACCCGATTATAGTCATCTGCCACGACAAAACATATGAATACTCAGTCCTGGGTCTACAGCCTCAGTCCTGGGTCTACAGCCTCAGTCCTGGGTCTACAGCCTCAGTCCTGGACCTACAGCCTAAGTCCTGGGTCTACAGCCTAAGTCCTGGGTCTACAGCCTCAGTCCTGGGTCTACAGCCTCAGTCCTGGGTCTACAGCCTCAGTCCTGGGTCTACAGCCTCAGTCCTGGGTCTACAGCCTAAGTCCTGGGTCTACAGCCTAAGTCCTGGGTCTACAGCCTCAGTCCTGGGTCTACAGCCTCAGTCCTGGGTCTACAGCCTCAGTCCTGGGTCTACAGCCTAAGTCCTGGGTCTACAGCCTAAATCCTGGGTCTACAGCCTAAGTCCTGAGTCTACAGCCTCAGTCCTGGGTCTACAGCCTCAGTCCTGAGTCTACAGCCTCAGTCCTGGGTCTACAGCCTAAGTCCTGGGTCTACAGCCTCAGTCCTGAGTCTACAGCCTCAGTCCTGGGTCTACAGCCTCAGTCCTGGGTCTACAGCCTAAGTCATGGGTCTACAGCCTCAGTCCTGGGTCTACAGCCTCAGTCCTGGGTCTACAGCCTCAGTCCTGGACCTACAGCCTCAGTCCTGGATCTACAGCCTCAGTCCTGGGTCTACAGCCTCAGTCCTGGGTCTACAGCCTCAGTCCTGGGTCTACAGCCTCAGTCCTGGGTGAGGGGAGGTAGTATCTGTCTTACATATCCTTATCCTTTACATTTTAACCATTTCTATCTTGAGCTCTAACAGACTCTGAGACTCTATAATAAAGTTCTAATGCAGAGAAAGAGCGAGGGCCTCACAGGGGAGGACGGTGGGGGTCCGGTTCTTCTTTTGGTTCTCCTCCATGAGCCCGGTGTTGGACGTTCTCCAGTTCTTATACGTCGGCATTCTCTGAAACGAGGAACGTCTGGTGTCAAACTGAGCACGGTTTGTGTTTTAACAACTACAATTTAACTGTGTTTCTATAACGTTTTATATAAAGCCCTGTTTCCACCAGAGTAGAGTAGAGTAGAGTAGAGTAGAGTAGAGTAGAGTAGAGTAGAGTAGAGTAGAGTAGAGTAGAGTAGAGTAGAGTAGAGCAGTGTAGAGTAGAGCAGTGTAGAGTAGAGCAGAGCAGAGCAGAGCAGAGCAGAGCAGAGCAGTGTAGAGTAGAGTAGAGTAGAGTAGAGTAGAGTAGAGTAGAGTAGAGTAGAGTAGAGTAGAGTAGAGTAGAGCAGAGCAGAGCAGAGCAGTGTAGAGTAGAGTAGAGTAGAGTAGAGTAGAGCAGAGTAGAGCAGAGTAGAGTAGAGTAGAGTAGAGTAGAGCACAGCAGAGTAGAGTAGAGTAGAGTAGAGCAGAGTAGAGCAGAGTAGAGTAGAGTAGAGTAGAGTAGAGCACAGCAGAGTAGAGTAGAGTAGAGTAGAGCAGAGTAGAGCAGAGTAGAGTAGAGCAGAGTAGAGTAGAGTAGAGTAGAGTAGAGCACAGCAGAGTAGAGCAGAGCAGAGCAGAGTAGAGTAGAGTAGAGTAGAGTAGAGTAGAGTAGAGTAGAGTACAGCAGAGTAGAGTAGAGTAGAGTAGAGTACAGCAGAGTAGAGTACCTGGAACTCCTCCACCATGAGGCTGCTGTCCTCGCTCTGCTCCCTCATGGTGCTGAGGCTGCTGTGGAGCTCCTCCAGCTCCAGCTCCGTTTCTCCAAACTGGTTATGCTCCAGCAGCGCCTGATGGATCAGGATGTACTGCGCCTGCAACACAGAGGACTGAGGCTTTAGACCCAGGACTGAGGCTGTAGACCCAGGACTGAGGCTGTAGACCCAGGACTGAGGCTGTAGACCCAGGACTGAGGCTGTAGATCCAGGACTGAGGCTGTAGACCCAGGACTGAGGCTGTAGACCCAGGACTGAGGCTGTAGACCCAGGACTGAGGTTGTAGACCCAGGACTGAGGTTGTAGACCCAGGACTGAGGCTGTAAGATTTAGAGCGAACAGCAGAAGCACAAAGTCCCACTGGTCCCCCACTGGTCCCTTACTGTTCCCCCACTGGTCCCCCACTGGTCCTTCACTGGTCCCTCACTGGTCCCTCACTGGTCCCTCACTGGTCCCTCACTGGTCCTTCACTGGTCCCTCACTGGTCTCTCACTGGTTCCTCACTGGTCCTTCACTGGCCTCTCACTGGTCCCTCACTGGTCCTTCACTGGTCCCTCACTGGTCTCTCACTGGTTCCTCACCTCCACCTGGACCATGAGGCATCTCTGTCTGCGCAGCTGCACCACGTAACCGTAAATGTCCAGTCTCCTCTCGGCCTCCAGACCCTCCATCAGGGCATCGATCCCAATGTACGAGCCCGTCCTGCCCACTCCAGCACTGCAACACACACACACACACACACACACACACACACACACACACACACACACACACACACACACACACACACACACACCGTTCATTTTCACTGGTTGTCCGTGGGAACCAAGTGATAAGGTACCACAGTAGTCTACGGGTTCATTGTACAGTCTGACAGAAGCTCTCTAACACATGTTTATAAAAGTGTACAATGTTTGCGCATCACACCTGCAGAATGGACCAAAGTGTGGTTTAATTTGGGTTGTTAACCTGTGTTTTTCAGCTAGCATGATCCACCAAGTCTTTCAGCTAGCATGATTTACATCTATGAACCAATGACTACAGGTGATTGATAGTCAGCCGTGTTCATTGTACAGTCTGACAGGTTAGACTGTACCTGCAGTGCACGACGATGGGGCCGCTGAACAGGTTCTTGAAGGAGTTGACGCGGCGCCGCAGCTTGAGAAGCAGGTGTGGTTCTCCGGGAACGCCGTGGTCGGGCCAGCTCAAGAACTGGATGTGCGTCACCTCGCGCTCGCTGTTCTTCTCTCTCTTCTACACACAACATTTCAGCTCAAACATGGAACAGTCTTCCTGAAAATGTGAGACGAGCCTCCACCCTGAAAACGTTTCTGTTTAGCTACAACTGATTCTGTTTTGTACGATTTATCTATTGCTGTTCTATTTCAGACCCTTGATTAACCGGTGAACTGTTTACTTTTTAAGGTGTTTGTGTCGGTATTTGTGTGTTTTTGTTGTATTTACAAATTATTTATAGTTTATTATTTTATTATTTGGTGTCAAACTATCTTGTATTTGTAACATGCACATAATGTAAACAGATGAAAACAAAATAAAGTATAAATGAAAGACAACGCTATTAAACTTTTATATGCCACTGAAACTGCCACTAAACTTCTAAATGCCACTAGAACTGCCACTAAACTTGTATCTGCCACAGAAAATGCCACTAAACTTCTAGCTGCCCAGAAAATGCCCCTAAACTTTTAGCTGCCACAGAAAATGCCACTTAACTTCTAGCTGCCACGGAAAATGCCACTAAACTTCTATCTGCCACAGAAAATGCCACTAAACTATCTGCCACAGAAAATGCCACTAAACTTCTATCTGACACAGAAAATGCCACTAAACTTCGAGCTGCCACAGAAAATGCCACTTAACTTCTATCTGCCACGGAAAATGCCACTGAACTTCTAGCTGCCACGGAAAATGCCACTACACTTTTAGCTGACACAGAAAATGCCACTAAACTATCTGCAACAGAAAATGCCACTAAACTTCTATCTGACACAGAAAATGCCACTAAACTTCTAGCTGCCACAGAAAATGCCACTAAACTTCTTGCTGCCACAGAAAATGCCACTGAACTTCTAGCTGCCACGGAAAATGCCACTAAACTTCTAGCTGCCACAGAAAATGCCACTAAACTTTTACTGCCACAGAAAATGCCACTTAACTTCTATCTGCCACGGAAAATGTCACTAAACTTCTAGCTGCCACAAAAAATACCACTTAACTTCTAGCTGCCACGGAAAATGCCACTAAACTTCTAGCTGCCACAGAAAATGCCACTAAACTATCTGCCACAGAAAATGCCACTAAACTTCTATCTGACACAGAAAATGCCACTAAACTTCTAGCTGCCACAGAAAACGCCACTTAACTTCTATCTGCCACGGAAAATGCCACTGAACTTCTAGCTGCCACGGAAAATGCCACTAAACTTCTAGCTGCCACAGAAAATGCCACTAAACTTATACTGCCACAGAAAATGCCACTTAACTTCTATCTGCCACGGAAAATGTCACTAAACTTCTAGCTGCCACGAAAAATACCACTTAACTTCTAGCTGCCACGGAAAATGCCACTAAACTTCTAGCTGCCACAGAAAATGCCACTAAACTATCTGCCACAGAAAATGCCACTAAACTTCTATCTGACACAGAAAATGCCACTAAACTTCTAGCTGCCACAGAAAACGCCACTTAACTTCTATCTGCCACGGAAAATGCCACTGAACTTCTAGCTGCCACGGAAAATGCCACTACACTTCCAGAGACCACAGAAAGTCATCGGTTTGTGCCAGAGGTTCTTGACAGTAGCATGGATGGATCTAAGAACATCTCCAGGTCTGATTTTAAGTAAGTAAAGCGGTTTACAATTGTTGGGATGGGAGGGGCCAGTACAGGAGGCGCATGCCAGACCTATTGTACATGTTTTTAGTGGTAGGGGAAACCGGAGCACCCGGAGGTAACCTACGCAGACACGGGGAGAACATGCAAACTCCACTCAGAATGGCCATGTTCCGAGTGGATTTTGATGAGGAACAATGTTGAAGCAAAGTTAACAGAACATAACGAGCAGAGACCACCAGGGGGCAGACTCACGTTGGTCAGGCTGAGGCGGCGGATGGTGTAGTCCGGACACTGGTCTTCAGAATTCAGCTTCACCACAAACTCCTCAAAGATCTCAGCTTCTCGATCCAGACTGGGCCAATACTCTGCACATTTAACCTGAGAGACCAGAGATACATGAGAGACCAGGGGGAAACCAGAGAGAGACCAGGGAGAGACCAGAGAGAGACCAGAGGGAGAGCAGAGGGAGAGCAGGGAGATACCAGAGAGAGACCAGAGAGAGACCAGGGAGAGACCAGAGAGAGACCAGAGGGAGAGCAGGGAGATACCAGAGAGAGGCCACAGAGAGACCAGAGAGAGACAAGAGAGACCAGAGAGAGAGCGTGAGAGAGAGCAGAGAGAGACCAGAAATGCATGAGAGACCAGAGAGAGACCAGAGAGAGACTAGAGAGAGACCAGAGAGAGAGCAGAGAGAGACCAGAGAGAGACCAGAGAGAGACCAGAGAGGGACCAGAGAGAGACCAGAGAGAGACCAGGGAGAGATCATAGGGAGAGCAGAGAGAGAGCGTAAGAGAGAGCAAAGTGAGACCAGAGATACAAGAGAGAGAGACCAGAGAGAGAGCAAAGTGAGACCAGAGATACATGAGAGACCAGAGAGAGACTAGAGAGAGACCAGAGAGAGACCAGGGAGAGAGAGACCAGGGAGAGAAAGTCCTCCAAACTAATATCTTCTGTAAAAGTGCTTTGACATAATGTTTTTTTCCTTGAGTGAAGATAAACATATCGTGATCTCACCCGGTTCCCCTCCTCGCAGCGTGTTACCATGACGATGACAGACGACTTCTGCTCCCACACCATCCTCCAGAAGTCAGTGATGGTCTCCTCCTTTGGTCCTAAGACACAATATTAAAGATAACGATCTCTGCTCTCTCTCCAATGCCGTTTCACCCTGGTCTCTTTCTCTCTGGTCTCTTTCTGGTCTCTCTCGGCTTTCCCTTTCTTGTCAATCTCTCTGGTCTCTCTCGCTGCTCTCTCTCTCTGGTCTTTCTAGTCTCTCTCTGGTCTCTCTCTCTCTGGTCTCTCTCTTTCTCTGGTCTCTCTCTCTCTCTGGTCTCTCTCTGGTCTCTCTCTCTCTCTGGTCTCTCTCTCTCTGGTCTCTCTCTCTCTCTCTCTCTCTCTCTGGTCTCTCTCTCTATTCTCTCTCTCTCTGGTCTCTCTCTCTGGTCACTTTCACTCTCTCTCTGCTCTCTCTCTCTATTCTCTCTCTCTGCTGTCCCTCTCCCTGGTCTTTCTCTCTCACGTCTGTGCCGGTCACAACACCAAGCTAGCGTTACCAGAACAAATGCCCATATAAGGAAATTGGCTCCATCTAGCTTATGTTCAAACCTGCCACTAACACTCAGGTTATGTCACACTGTGGTGATGTCACACTCCGGTGATGTCACACTCAGGTGATGTCACACTCTGGTGATGTCACACTTAGGTGATGTCACACTTAGGTTATGTCACACTTAGGTTATGTCACACTCTGGTGATGTCACACTGTGGTGATGTCACACTCCGGTGATGTCACACTCCGGTGATGTCACACTCAGGTGATGTCACACTCTGGTGATGTCACACTCTGGTGATGTCACACTGTGGTGATGTCACACTCCGGTGATGTCACACTCAGGTGATGTCACACTGTGGTGATGTCACACTCCGGTGATGTCACACTCAGGTGATGTCACACTCTGGTGATGTCACACTTAGGTGATGTCACACTAAGGTTATGTCACACTCTGGTGATGTCACACTCCGGTGATGTCACACTGTGGTGATGTCACACTCTGGTGATGTCACACTCCGGTGATGTCACACTCCGGTGATGTCACACTCAGGTGATGTCACACTGTGGTGATGTCACACTCTGGTGATGTCACACTCTGGTTATGTCACACTCTGGTGATGAAACACTCTGGTTATGTCACACTCTGGTGTCACACTCTGGTGATGTCACACTCAGGTGATGTCACACTCTGGTGTCACACTCTGGTGATGTCACACTCAGGTGATGTCACACTCAGGTGATGTCACACTCTGGTGATGTCACACTCTGGTGTCGTCACACTCAGATGATGTCACACTCTGATGTCACACTCTGGTGATGTCACACTCTGGTGATGTCACACTCAGATGATGTCACACTCAGGTGATGTCACACTCAGGTGATGTCACACTGTGGTGATGTCACACTGTGGTGATGTCACACTGTGGTGATGTCACACTGTGGTGATGTCACACTCTGGTGATGTCACACTCAGGTGATGTCACACTGTGGTGATGTCACACTGTGGTGATGTCACACTCAGGTGATGTCACACTCGGTCGGTCCTCCAGGCCTCACCTTGAGCAGCGATGTACTTCTTGGCCTCCCTGTATCCCTGTGGTGACGACATGAGCGTGATGCGTCAGAATACACCAGTGTTTGTGTCAATATGTGTCTGTTCTACCCACGTCGATGAAGCTGGCGTTGATGTAGTCGCAGCCCGTCTCCCCGTTCCCTGTGCTCAGCTGCACACGGTTGTAGTCATCTGTCCTCAGAAATATTCACAAATAACAAAGTCAGTATATTTGCCATTTGCAGTAAACCCCCATTGGAATACACATGCAATAGTCCCCAGGAAGCACCAGACAAGTATGGGAATAAAACAAGCTAAAACACTTGTTCAGACTGAGAACAGCTGAAAGACACTGTTAGCATGTTAGCATATCCTGCAGCCAACAACTTCTAGAGGGAAGAAGCTGGAACATGGCTTGCAGGGTCCAGAAGAGTCATTGGTTTTCCTAAGAGCTGGGTTTAAGACTCTGGGTTCATAAAGAACCTCCAGAGCAGACAGCTCACAGTCTTCTCTCAGAGGGGAGAACCTCTCTCTGGTCTCTCTCTGGTCTCTCTCTGGTCTCTCTCTGGTCTCTCTCTGGTCTCTCTCTGGTCTCTCTCTGGAACTCGCTGTCTCTCTTTCTGGTCTCTCTCTGGTCTCTCTCTCTGGTCTCTCTCTGGACTCTTTCTGGTCTCTCTCTGGTCTCTCTCTGGTCTCTCACTAGACTCTCTCTGGTCTCTCTATGGTCTCTCTCTGGTCTCTCTCAGGTCTCTCTCTGGTCTCTCACTGGACTCTGGTCTCTTTCTGGTCCCTCTCTCTGGTCTCTCTCTGGACTCTCTCTGGTCTCTCTCTGGTCTCTCTCTGGTCTCTCTCTGGTCTCTCTCTGGTCTCTCTCTGGTCTCTCTCTGGTCTCTCTCTGGTCTCTCTCTCTGGTCTCTCTCTGGTCTCTCACTGGACTCTCTCTGGTCTCTCTCTGGTCTCTCTCTGGTCTCTCTCTGGTCTCTCTCTGGTCTCTCTCTGCTCTCTTTCTGGTCTCTCTCTCTGGTCTCTCTCTGGTCTCTCTCTGGTCTCTCTCTGGTCTCTCTCTGGTCTCTCACTGGACTCTCTCTGGTCTCTCTCTGGTCTCTCTCTGGTCTCTCTCTGGTCTCTCTCTGGTCTCTCTCTGGTCTCTTTCTGGTCTCTCTCTCTGGTCTCCCTCTGGTCTTTCTCTTGTCTCTCTCTGGTCTATCTCTCTGGTCTCTGTCTGGTCTCCCTCTGGTCTCCCTCTGGTCTCTCTCTGGTCTCTCTCTGGTCTCTCTCTCTGGTCTCTCTCTGCTCTCCCTCTGGTCTCTCTCTGGTCTCTCTCTGGTCTCTCTCTCTGGTCTCTCTCTGGTCTCTCTCTCTGGTCTCTCTCTGGTCTCCCTCTGGTCTCTCTCTGGTCTCTCTCTGGTCTCTCTCTGGTCTCTCTCTCTGGTCTCTCTCTGGTCTCTCTCTGGTCTCTCTCTGGTCTCTCTCTGGTCTGAAACAGTCAGAGAACCATCAACCAAACTTGAAATGTCGATGTAGACTCTGTGTGACTCACACGGCAGAATGTCCACGTAGCGGTTCTTGATCGCGTTACAGTTTTTCTTTGCTTCTTTCATCGTGAACTTTGAGAAGACTCTGGGGATGCTCTAAAAAAAAAAAAAGAAAAGAGTCTTTACAATACATGTTCTATCACAGTTACGCAACAAAACTATGGTTCTATGAGGACAGAGCAAACCGCCCAAAGCAAAGACTCACATTTTAAAATAATGAAATAAAAATCAATCATTCATTAAAATTATATAAATTGCATTTGACCCCACTCATCAGGGTCTTCAGGGGTAAACATGGGGAGAACATGCAAACTCCACTCTGAAAAGCCCTGTTCTGATTGTTTTTTTAACCCAGGACCTTCTTGCTGAAAAGCAAGAATGCTAACCACCCAGCCGACCCAACAGGCTTCACTATTGGCGAATGTATGTACTGTATCAGTGTGATTGGACAACAGTCTCTCTCTCTCTCTCTTTCATTTCTTGCAAACTCCATACAGGCCCTGTTCTGACCAGGATTCGAACCCAGGACGTTCTTGCAGAAAATCAAGAGTGCTAACCACTCAGCCGCCCTGCCACATCCTCTAAGGCCCAACAGGCTTCACTATTGGCAAACGTATGTACTCCCTGTGATTGGACAACAGGTGCCGTGGTGATACAACCTAATGACAAACAGAACTGAAACTCTGAAGCAAATCCTGATTTCAGATCTGTGTTTCAGGTACTCAGATCTCAGTACCTGAAACTCGGCGAGGAAGAGCCGTGCTTCGTCAGCTAGCTTCTTCTTGTAGGTGTCCAGCAGCTCGTCAGCCTCGATCGGCTCCACGGGCAACAGACGTTCCTCTTCTGAACAGAGAGAGACAATTATAACATTTCTCTTATCGGGCTTTGACCACAGACTGTGCAACAATGTCTGTCCCTGGTCTCTCCAAGATGTCTGCCCCTGGTCTCTCCAAGATGTCTGCCTCTGGTCTCTTCAAGATGTCTGCCCCTGGTCTCTCCAAGATGTCTGCCTCTGGTCTCTCCAAGATGTCTGCCCCTGGTCTCTCCAAGATGTCTGCCCCTGGTCTCTCCAAGATGTCTGCCCCAGGTCTCTCCAAGATGTCTGCCCCTGGTCTCTCCAAGATGTCTGCCCATTCTAATCAATGGCCTGAGCTGACTGGACCATGCTAGCACCATGGACGTCCCAAACATTAGGAGAAGTGACAGTGAAGATGATGGTGAGGTCTCTCTTTCTCTTTACAAAGTCTGTATTTCTTTATTTTTTATAAAGCGCCTGGCGCAGCACAGTCTGGGGTCGAGGCCCAGTACATACCTTGTGTGATGAGCGGGTAACCGTCGGATACATTTCTGTGGCGAGAAACAGTGTCAGAGCAAAGGACTAAAACCAGGTGTTACTGTACCAGTTGTAGTGGAAAAACAGACAGTATAGAGACCAGAGAGAGACCGAGAGGGACCAGAGAGAGACCAGAGAGAGACCAGAGAGGGACCAGAGAGAGACCAAAGAGAGACCAGAGAGAGACCCAGAGAGAGACCAGAGAGACCAGAGAGAGACCAGAGAGAGACCAGAGAGGGACCAGAGAGGGACCAGAGAGAGACCAGAGAGAGACCAGAGAGACCAGAGAGGGACCAGAGAGAGACCAGAGAGAGACCAGAGAGGGACCAGAGAGGGACCAGAGAGAGACCAGAGAGAGACCAGAGAGGGACCAGAGAGAGACCAGAGAGAAACCAGAGAGAGACCAGAGAGAGACCAGAGAGAGACCAGAGAGGGACTAGAGAGAGACCAGAGACAGACCAGAGACAGACCAGAGAGGGACTAGAGAGAGACCAGAGAGAGACCAGAGAGGGACCAGAGAGGGACCAGAGAGGGACCAGAGAGGGACCAGAGAGAGACCAGAGAGAGACCAGAGAGGGACCAGAGAGAGACCAGAGAGAGACCAGAGAGGGACCAGAGAGGGACCAGAGAGAGACCAGAGAGAGACCAGAAAGAGACCAGAGAGGGACCAGAGAGAGACCAGAGAGAGACCAGAGAGGGACTAGAGAGAGACCAGAGAGAGAGAGACCAGAGTGAGACCAGAAAGCGAGCAGAGGACCAGGGCCTTTCTGAGTGGAGTTTGCATGTTCTCCCCGTGTCTGCGTAGGTTTCCTCCGGGTACTCCGGTTTCCCCTACCACTAAAAACATGCACAATAGTTCTGACATGTGCCTTCTGTACTGGCCCCTCCCATCTCTGTGTGGAGTGAGAGACAAATGCCCAAAAATAATAACAATTGTAAACCGCTTTGTGACTCTGGTCTGTGAAAGGCGGTATATAAATAAAGATTACTTACTTACTTAGAGAAACAGACCAGAGAGAGAGACCAGAAAGAGACCAGCGAGAGAGAGACCAGAGTGAGACCAGAGAGAGACCAGAGAGAGACCAGCGAGAGAGAGACCAGAGTGAGACCAGAAAGCGAGCAGAGAAACAGACCGGAGAGAGACTGGAGTCCGCTCTCGTACTCACAGTGACTTCCTGCGCCTCAGAACATAGATCTTGTAAAGAACGACCAGCAGAGCCACAGACGTGACCAGGATGAGAAAAACCAGGAAACCGATCAGGGCTTTGTCGTTGACTAGAGACACACAGACAACCATCAAGAGACACACAGACAACCATCAAGAGACACACAGACAACCATCAAGAGACACACAGACAACCATCAATCTCCCAAAGAACCCAAAGCAAAGTGACAGAGAACTATACGTACACCTGGTGTCCACGGCCTTGGAACTGGGCTCTCCTGATACGAAACCATTATGAGCTCTGACCTGAAGAGCGACAACAGAGTGGTTAAGACATGCAACACAATTTATTCTTATTTAGAGTGAGTGTGTCAGAGTGAGTGTGTGACAGAGTGAGTGTGTGTCAGAGTGAGTGTGTTACCTCCACTCTGTAGGTGGTGGAGTACTGCAGGTCTCTGTATTCAAAGTAACAGGAGTTGTTGGTCTTGGACTGCACTTCCTGATTGTTCAGTTTGAGCTCAGATTTGTACAGGATTATGCGACCTCTCATTTGTTTCTGATTCATCGTCGGACACTTCACGGTGAAGCCGTTGTTCTCGAAAACTTCCAGAGTCAGTTTCCCGACTCGGTCTGGAACTGCAAGAAAACAATGAGAAATTTGAGTCTTTGGGAAAAAACACATCAAAAAGTGATACAAAAGAACCGTATAAATGTCAGGTTTCTACATGTAGGTGTGCACATGTATGTAAAATATATGTGGGTATGTGTAGCACTGTGTCAGTATGGTTAAGTATGGTTAAGTATGGTTAAGGGCGGGCTGTCCATATGTGGGCAAGAATGTATGACTACATGTATGTACGTGTGGCTAGGATCGAAACACTCAAGAATTGTGCAAAAGTAAGAAATGTGCAACATGTTAATGCAGGATGTATTATGTACAAAAAAGTGTCAATTAGAAAGAAGTGTCAATATTAGTGCAGGTTTTTTTTTTGTCTTAATGCAGTGACTTAAAGTGACTTGTTGTACAGTCTGACAAAAAAAAAAAAGCAGCGGATTATACTATACAAGATTTCCCTCTCTGGTCTTTCTCTGGTCTCTCTCTGTTCTCTCTCTGGTCTCTCTCTGGTCTCTCTCTGGTCTCTCTCTGGTCTCTCGCTGGTCTCTCTCTGGTCTTTCTCTGGTCCCTCTCAGGTCTCTCTCTGGTCTCTCTCTGGTCTCTCTCTGGTCTCTCTCTGGTCTCTCTCTGGTCTCCCTCTGGTCTCTCTGGTCTCTCTGGTCTCTCTCTGGCCTCCCTCTGGTCTCTCTCTAGTCTCTCTCTGGTCTCTCTCTGGTCTCTCTCTGGTCTGTCTCTCTAGTCTCTCTCTGGTCTCTCTCTGGTCTCTCTCTGGTCTCTCTCTGGTCTCTCTCTGGTCTCTCTCTGGTCTCCCTCTGGTCTCTCTCTGATCTCTCTCTGGTCTCTCTCTGGTCTCTCTCTGGTCTCTCTCTGGTCTCTCTCTGGTCTCCTTCTGGTCTCTCTCTGATCTCTCTCTGGTCTCTCTCTGGTCTCTCTCTGGTCTCTCTCTGGTCTCTCTCTGGTCTCTCTCTGGTCTCTCTCTGGTCACTTACTTCCGTGGCTGGTCTTGACTCTCTCAGTCTCCCTGTGTTTCACTGATCGGTTATACATGGTTATGACCTCACAGATGTAGTCAGTGTAGGCTTCCAGGTCTCTCACTGTGCAGCTGTTTTCTCCCAAAGGCATCGGTCCTGATGAACGTGATGAACGTGATGAATATGGACCTGTGGAAACTAGATGGAAAACGATCATGGTCTTCCATTCAATTAAATTAAATTAAATATATTCATGTAAAGGTCTAAAAAAGTAGTTATCTGTAAGGACTTAACAAAACCGTTGAATTTGCCAACACAGTCACACTCTCTGGTATCACTCTGGTCTCTTTCTAGTCTCTCTCTGGTCTCTCTCTCTGGTCTCTCTCTCTGGTCTCTCTCTGGACTCTCTCTCTTGTCTCTCTCTGGTCTCTCTCTGGCCTCTTTCTGGTCGCTCTCTGGCCTCTCTCTGGTCTCCCGCTGGTCTCTCTCTGGTCTCTCTCTAGCCTCTCTCTGGTCTCTCTCTCTGGCCTCTCTCTGGTCTCCCTCTGGTCTCTCTCTGGTCTCCCTCTGGTCTCTCTCTGGTCTCTCTCTAGCCTCTCTCTGGTCTCTCTCTGGTCTCTCTCTGGTCTCTCTCTCTGGTCTCTCTCTGGCCTCTCTCTGGTCTCTCTCTGGTCTCTCTCTGGTCTCTCTCTGGTCTCTCTCTGGTCCCTCTCTGGTCTCTCGCTGGTCTCTCTCTGGTCCCTCTCTGGTCTCTTGCTGGTCTCTCTCTCTGGTCTCTCTCTGGTCTCCCTCTGGTCTCTCTCTGGTCTCTCTCTAGCCTCTCTCTGGTCTCTCTCTGGTCTCTCTCTGGTCTCTCTCTAGTCTCTTTCTGGTCTCTCTCTGGCCTCTCTCTGGTCTCCCTCTGGTCTCTCTCTGGTCTCCCTCTGGTCTCTCTCTGGTCTCTCTCTAGCCTCTCTCTGGTCTCTCTCTGGTCTCTCTCTGGTCTCTCTCTAGTCTCTTTCTGGTCTCTCTCTGGCCTCTCTCTGGTCTCCCTCTGGTCTCTCTCTGGTCTCTACAGTACAGATCAGTGCATGTGTTGGTGTGTGCTTGAACTGAATGGATATACTGAGAGTGAAGACCCGTACCGCAGCCGCATGTGTGTGTGAGTCTGTCCTGGAGCAGGGTCTTGTTGCAGTTCTTCGTCGTCGTCTCCCACCGAAGACCGATCGACCCCTCGTTCGGAGACGCGGTTATATCCAGACTCAGATCTGGAGGAAAACAAGGAGGAGACCATCGTTTACAGACCAGAAATGTTCATAAAGTCCATACATGTTTGTGAATGTCTATGGACCCTCAAGTGTCTCTCTCTGGTCTCTCTCTCTGGTCTCTCTTTCTGGTCTCTCTCTGGTCTCTCTTTCTGGTCTCTCTCTGGTCTCTCTCTCTGGTCTCTCTCTGGTCTCTCTCTGGTCTCTCTCTCTGGTCTCTCTCTGGTCTCTCTCTCTGGTCTCTCTCTGGTCTCTCTCTCTGGTCTCTCTCTGGTCTCTCTCTGGTCTCTCTCTGGTCTCTCTCTCTGGTCTCTCTCTGGTCTCTCTCTGGTCTCTCTCTCTGGTCTCTCTCTCTGGTCTCTCTCTGGTCTCTCTCTGGTCTCTCTCTCTGGTCTCTCTCTCTGGTCTCTCTCTGGTCTCTCTCTCTGGTCTCTCTCTGGTCTCTCTCTGGTCTCTCTCTGGTCTCTCTCTCTGGTCTCTCTCTGGTCTCTCTCTGGTCTCTCTCTCTGGTCTCTCTCTCTGGTCTCTCTCTGGTCTCTCTCTGGTCTCTCTCTCTGGTCTCTCTCTCTGGTCTCTCTCTGGTCTGCTTCTGGTCTCTCTCTCTCTGGTCTGCTTCTGGTCTCCTTACCACAGCTGGTGTTCACTTCCACTGCTCTGGTATCGCTGATCCTGGTTCCATTCTTCAGTGATGTTTTTCCGATGCACTTGTACTTTTCAAACGGCTCCAGTTCAGACAAACCCCGAGGGCCGCTGCCTCCACCTGGTCCTGGACAAGAGAGTCACAAATGTTCAATTTAATTATATACATCTGTAGAACAACTCCTCGCTGGTCTCTCCAAACCAGCGATAGAACCAGGAAGTACCATGACAGACTAGAACCAGGAGGTACCATCATGTACTAGAACCAGGAAGTACCATCGCAGACTAAAACCAGGAGGCACCATCACATTAGTCCTGGTCTCAGGTCTCCGCACAGGGACTGGCCTCCTGCTGGGCCTCTGAGGAGCACAGGGACTGGCCTCTCTGGATAGCGTACCTGTGCTCGTGGACAGCGTACCTATGCTCGTGGACAGCGTACCTGTGCTCGTGGATAGCGTACCTATGCTCGTGGACAGCGTACCTGTGCTCGTGGATAGCGTACCTGTGCTCATGGACAGCGTACCTGTGCTCGTGGATAGCGTACCTGTGCTCGTGGACAGCGTACCTGTGCTCGTGGATAGCGTACCTATGCTCGTGGACAGCGTACCTGTGCTTATGGATAGCGTACCTGTGCTTGTGGACAGCGTACCTGTGCTCGTGGATAGCGTACCTGTGCTCATGGACAGCGTACCTGTGCTCGTGGATAGCGTACCTGTGCTCGTGGATAGCGTACCTATGCTCGTGGACAGCGTACCTGTGCTCATGGATAGCGTACCTGTGCTTGTGGACAGCGTACCTGTGCTCGTGGACAGCGTACCTGTGCTCGTGGACAGCGTACCTGTGCTCGTGGACAGCGTACCTGTGCTCGTGGACAGCGTACCTGTGCACATGGATAGCGTACCTGTGCTTGTGGACAGCGTACCTGTGCTCGTGGACAGCGTACCTGTGCTCGTGGACAGCGTACCTATGCTCGTGGACAGCGTACCTGTGCACATGGATAGCGTACCTGTGCTTGTGGACAGCGTACCTGTGCACATGGATAGCGTACCTGTGCTTGTGGACAGCGTACCTGTGCTCGTGGACAGCGTACCTGTGCTCGTGGACAGCGTACCTGTGCTCATGGATAGCGTACCTGTGCTTGTGGACAGCGTACCTGTGCTCGTGGACAGCGTACCTGTGCTCGTGGATAGCGTACCTATGCACATGGATAGCGTACCTGTGCTCGTGGACAGCGTACCTATGCTCGTGGACAGCGTACCTGTGCACATGGATAGCGTACCTGTGCTTGTGGACAGCGTACCTGTGCTTGTGGACAGCGTACCTGTGCTCGTGGACAGCGTACCTGTGCTCGTGGACAGCGTACCTGTGCTCGTGGACAGCGTACCTGTGCACATGTAGTCCACAGTCAGGTTGCAGAGCGGAGGCAGTCGGGGCTCGATGGTCGGAGGGTTTCCACTGGAGCTGTTTCCAGGATAACTCACTGTTTGTGTCACGTTCACTACAGACCAGAACCGCCCTGCAACAGACAACAGACATTTACAGACCAGAGAGAGACCAGAGAGAGACCAGAGAGAGACCAGAGAGAGACCAGAGAGAGACCAGAGAGAGACCAGAGAGAGACCAGAGAGGGACCAGAGAGAGACCAGAGAGAGAGACCAGAGAGAGACCAGAGGAAGACCAGAGAGAGACCAGAGGGAGACCAGAGAGAGACCAGAGAGGGACCAGAGAGAGACCAGAGAGAGGCCAGAGAGAGACCAGAGAGGGACCAGAGAGAGACCAGAGAGAGAGACCAGAGAGAGACCAGAGGAAGACCAGAGAGAGACCAGAGGGAGACCAGAGAGAGACCAGAGAGGGACCAGAGAGAGACCAGAGAGAGACCAGAGAGAGACCAGAGAGAGACCAGAGAGAGACCAGAGAGAGACCAGAGGGAGACCAGAGAGACCAGAGAGACCAGAGAGAGACCAGAGAGAGACCAGAGAGAGAGACCAGAGAGAGACCAGAGAGAGACCAGAGAGAGACCAGAGAGAGACCAGAGAGAGACCAGAGAGAGAGACCAGAGAGAGACCAGAGGAAGACCAGAGAGAGACCAGAGGGAGACCAGAGAGAGACCAGAGAGGGACCAGAGAGAGACCAGAGAGAGGCCAGAGAGAGACCAGAGAGGGACCAGAGAGAGACCAGAGAGAGAGACCAGAGAGAGACCAGAGAGAGAGACCAGAGAGAGACCAGAGAGAGACCAGAGAGAGACCAGAGAGAGACCAGAGAGAGACCAGAGAGAGACCAGAGGGAGACCAGAGGGAGACCAGAGAGACCAGAGAGACCAGAGAGAGACCAGAGAGAGACCAGAGAGAGACCAGAGAGAGACCAGAGGGAGACCAGAGGGAGACCAGAGAGACCAGAGAGACCAGAGAGAGACCAGAGAGAGACCAGAGAGAGAGACCAGAGAGAGACCAGAGAGAGACCAGAAAGAGACCAGAGAGAGACCAGAGAGAGACCAGAGAGAGACCAGAGAGAGACCAGAGAGAGACCAGAGAGAGAGACCAGAGAGAGAGACCAGAGAGAGAGACCAGAGAGCGAGACCAGAACTGTTGCTTTATTTTCTCATATTCCAAGAGACACATTTCTGTATCTTTCTTAAAACAATATTATTTACTGCTTTGTCTTTACTGCAAATCTGGTTTTGAGTCACAACGTGCTCAAATCAAGAGTCATTATTTTCCCAATTTTAGCAATTTTTGACTTATTTGACATCACTTTTTTCCCTTAGTCGTGGGTGACGTACCAGCGTCCAGTCGTACGGTGTCTCTGAAGGGACATGTGGCTCTGGTGATGCTAACGTTGACGTCGGAGCAGAGCTGGTCAGAGGTGATGTTCCAGCAGCACTTCCCGCTCTCTCCACAGGGGGCAGCACTGGGCTCCACATCAGCACAGTCCAGGTCCCACTGAGACACGAGCGAGATCTTTCCCACGGAGACAGGATCCAGACTGATGTGTCCTGGTTCTGCAAATATACAACCACTTTAGCACCGTTTCCACCTGGTCTACATGGTCCTACTCTACTCTACTCTACTCTACTCTTCTCTACTCTACTCTACTCTACCCTACTCTACCCTACTCTACTCTACCCTACTCTACTCTATACTACTCTTCTCTACTCTACTCTACCCTACTCTACCCTACTCTACCCTACTCTACTCTACCCTACTCTACCCTACTCTACCCTACTCTACTCTACCCTACTCTACTCTACACTACACTACACTACTCTACTCTACTCTACTCTACTCTACTCTACTCTACTCTACTCTACTCTACTCTACTCTACTCTACTCTACTCTACTGTACTCCACTTTACTCTACGTAACTCTACTCTACTTAAATTTTACTTTTTCAATTGTCGCACAGAGCAAAGCGTTCACTCACTGATGTTGGTGGTGGTTTCCATGGCGACAGTGGAGTTGTTGTAGCTGGAGCAGACCGTTCCGTTCTTCCTCTGGACGCGGACCTCATATTGAGAACAAGGCTTCAGTCCCAAGATGTTTCCACTGGGGCCGGAGAAGGAGTGGTTCAGTCGGGTTTGGTTTGTTTCAGATATCGTCGCAATGAAGTGCCCAGCAGTGAAGTTTATGAGCTCAATCTTGAATCCAAAATCCACCGTCTGAACCGAGAAAACACCTGAAACAAGAGATTCAGGTGAAGAGATTCTATCGAAACATTCTATCGAAACATGTAAGATGAAAGATGAAAAGAATTTATCTTAAAAGAAAATTTTCTTTAAAAAATATCTTGAGAATTTAAAGTTTCAGGATGGTTGGCTCTACTCTACTCTACTTTCCTCTATTCTACTCTACTCTACTCTACTCTACTCTTCTGTGCTTTACTCTACTGTGCTTTACTCTACTTTACCCTGCTTTACCCAACTCTACTTTACTCTACCATACTATACTCTACTCTACTCTGCTCTTCTTGCTTATATTAGTAGAGTGTGTTTCCATTACTTTTTATTATCTGGAACAGTATCGTAGCAAAGAAAGCTCCCGACCTCTGAACAAATGCCCATATAAGGAAATAGGCTGCTAGCTTATGGTCAAATCAGCTTCTTCTGCGGTAATGCTAACAGTGTGGTGATGTCACACACTCAGCTGGTCGTGTGTGTGCTGCACTAGTGTGATACTTACATGGTTCGTCTTTATGGGGGTCTTCTGTCGCTGTTTGAACAAAAGAGAAAAAGACAAAACATTGAGTTAGATTTAAGTCAAGAAAAGATAAAACTACTGCTGTAAAGGAGGATCTGAGGACTCTCTCTGGTCTCTCTATAGTCTCTCTCTGGTCTCTCTCTGGTCTCTCTCTGGTCTCTCTCTGGTCTCTCTCTGGTCTCTCTCTGGTCTCTCTCTGGTCTCTCTCTGGTCTCCCTGGTCTCTCTCTAGTCTCTCTCTGGTCTCTCTCTGGTCCCCCTGGTCTCTCTCTGGTCTCTCTCTGGTCTCTCTCTGGTCTCTCTCTCTGGTTTCTCCCTGGTCTCTCTCTGGTCTCTCTCTGGTCTCTCTCTGGTCTCTCTCTCTGGTTTCTCTCTGGTCTCTCTCTGGTCTCTCTCTCTGGTCTCTCTGGTCTCTCTTTGGTCTCTCTGGTCTCTCTCTGGTCTTTATCTGGTCTCTTTCTGGTCTCTCTCTGGTCTCTTTCTGGTCTCTCTCTGGTCTCTTTCTGGTCTCCCTGGTCTCTCTCTGGTCTCTCTCTGGTCTCTCTCTAGTCTCTCTCCGGTCTCTCTCTGGTCTTTATCTGGTCTCTCTGGTCTCTTTCTGGTCTCTCTCTGGTCTCTCTCTGGTCTCTGTATGGCCTCTCTCTGGTCTCTCTAGTCTCTCTCCGGTCTCTCTCTGGTCTTTCTCTCTGGTCTCTCTAGTCTCTCTCTGGTCTCCCTCTGGTCTCTGTATGGCCTCTCTCTGGTCTCTCTAGTCTCTCTCCGGTCTCTCTCTGGTCTTTCTCTCTGGTCTCTCTAGTCTCTCTCTGGTCTCCCTCTGGTCTCTCGGGACAGGGGCCATAAATGCATACATGCAAAAGCTAGCGTAGTAACATAAATATATTAACTTGTGGTTTGAAACTTACATATCCCAGCTTTAAATTAATTATTAAGAAATTGATGAGATTATTGAGAAATGAAAATAAAACATAATTATGAAACCGATCTTTAATTTGAGTGACAGAGTACTGAGTCATGGTTAAAGCTACGCACTTGGTGGAGGGATGGAGGTGGTGTTTGGAGCCACAGAGGTGTTGTTCCATGGCTCTCCTGTAGGGGCCGCTGTGGTGGCCCTGGAGGAGGGGGTGAGGTCTCGTAGTTCTCCTGTAGGGGGCGCTGGGGTGGCCCTGGAGGAGGGGGTGACGTTTTGAGCTGCAAAAGAAAACAATAGTATTCGGTTTGTTATATTTAAATAATTCAATTCATTGTTTCAGAAGAGTGCCATTAGTCTATAGACCCAGGACTGAGGCTGTAGACCCAGGACTGAGGCTGTAGACCCAGGACTGAGGCTGTAGATCCAGGACTGAGGCTGTAGACCCAGGACTTAGGCTGTAGACCCAAGACTGAGGCTGTAGACCGAAGACTGAGGCTGTAGACCCAGGACCGAGGCTTTTAGACCCAGGACTGAGCCTGTAGACCCAAGACCGAGACTGTAGACCCAGGACTGAGCCTGTAGACCCAAGACCGAGGCTGTAGACCCAGGACTGAGGCTGTAGACCCAGGACCGAGGCTTTTAGACCCAAGACTGAGGCTGTAGACCGAAGACTGAGGCTGTAGACCCAGGACTGAGGTTGTAGACCCAGGACTGAGGCTGTAGACCCAAGACCGAGGCTGTAGACCCAGGACTGAGGCTGTAGACCCAGGACCGAGGCTGTAGACCCAGGACCGAGGCTGTAGACCCAGGACTGAGGCTGTAGACCCAGAACTGGGGCTGTAGACCCAGGACTGAGGCTGTAGACCCAGGACTGAGGCTGTAGACCCAGGACCGAGGCTTTAGACCCAGGACCGAGACTGTAGACCCAGGACCGAGGCTGTAGATCCAGGACTGAGACTGTAGACCCGGGACTGAGACTGTAGACCCAGGACTGAGACTGTAGACCCAGGACTGAGGCTGTAGACCCAGGACTGAGGCTGTAGATCCAGGACTGAGACTGTAGACCCAGGACTGAGGCTGTAGACCCAGGACTGAGGCTATAGACCCAGGACCGAGGCTTTTAGACCCAGGACTGAGGCTGTAGACCCAGGACTGAGGCTGTAGACCCAGGACTGAGGCTGTAGACCCAGGACTGAGGCTGTAGACCCAGGACTGAGGCTGTAGACCCAGGACTGAGGCTGTAGACCCAGGACTGAGGCTGTAGACCCAGGACTGGGGCTGTAGACCCAGGACTGGGGCTGTAGACCCAGGACCGAGACTGTAGACCCAGGACTGAGGCTGTAGACCCAGGACCGAGGCTTTTAGACCCAGGACTGAGGCTTTTAGACCCGGGACTGAGGCTGTAGACCCAGGACCGAGGCTGTAGACCCAGGACCGAGGCTTTTAGACCCAGGACTGAGGCTTGTAGACCCAGGACTGAGGCTGTAGACCCAGGACTGAGGCTGTAGACCCAGGACCGAGGCTTTTAGACCCAAGACTGAGGCTGTAGACCGAAGACTGAGGCTGTAGACCCAGGACTGAGGCTGTAGACCCAGGACCGAGGCTGTAGACCCAGGACCGAGGCTGTAGACCCAGGACCGAGGCTTTTAGACCCAGGACTGAGGCTTGTAGACCCAGGACTGAGGCTGTAGACCCAGGACTGAGGCTGTAGACCCAGGACCGAGGCTTTTAGACCCAAGACCGAGGCTGTAGACCCAGGACTGAGGCTGTAGACCCAGGACCGAGGCTGTAGACCCAGGACCGAGGCTGTAGACCCAGGACTGAGGCTGTAGACCCAGGACTGAGGCTGTAGACCCAGAACTGGGGCTGTAGACCCAGGACTGAGGCTGTAGACCCAGGACCGAGGCTGTAGACCCAGAACTGGGGCTGTAGACCCAGGACTGAGGCTGTAGACCCAGGACTGAGGCTGTAGACCCAGAACTGGGGCTGTAGACCCAGGACCGAGACTGTAGACCCAGGACTGAGGCTGTAGACCCAGGACCGAGGCTGTAGACCCAGGACCGAGGCTGTAGACCCAGGACCGAGGCTTTTAGACCCAGGACTGAGGCTTTTAGACCCAGGACCGAGGCTGTAGACCCAGGACCGAGGCTTTTAGACCCAGGACTGAGGCTTGTAGACCCAGGACCGAGGCTGTAGACCCAGGACCGAGGCTTTTAGACCCAAGACTGAGGCTGTAGACCGAAGACTGAGGCTGTAGACCCAGGACCGAGGCTTTTAGACCCAAGACCGAGGCTGTAGACCCAGGACTGAGGCTGTAGACCCAGGACCGAGGCTGTAGACCCAGGACCGAGGCTGTAGACCCAGGACCGAGACTGTAGACCCAGGACTGAGGCTGTAGACCCAGGACCGAGGCTGTAGACCCAGGACCGAGGCTGTAGACCCAGGACTGAGGCTGTAGACCCAGGACTGAGGCTGTAATATTGTTGATATTCACAATTTTATTCTAACTTCAGATGTGGAGATTATTTTCTGATCGGCGACGCCCAGTCCTGAAGCTGCAGAGAAAAGTGCATTGTTGCCGTGACGACCAGGCCCTTCTTTCAGAAACACTATTTCAGTCCGACCGCAGCATCCTGAGCGCTGCTTCCTCTTTCAGACACAGATCTGAGCTTTAGATACTGTACCCATGATACTCTAACAACAGAGGACTGCACAAAGATTCGCCAACGACAGATTAGAGAATCAAACCGTCCAAACACAGGGAATGCAAACGTATTACTGGGACTGACTGGCCACTTTAGTTTCCCAGAGTTCGTTTCCAGACTTCATAAAACCGTTTTGGATCCAACCTGTAGAATGAGCTATTCTACTGTCAGACTGTACAATGAACAAGGAGGACAAACAAACACAGTCAGAATGTGTAATACAGAAGAACATGAGTCCATTAGAATGTCAAGGATTTTATACTAGCTTCTTTATTATGCTAAAGCTAGATTTTATACTAGCTTCTTTATTATGCTAAAGATAGAGATTTTATACTAGCTTCTTTATTATGCTAAAGCTAGAGATTTTATACTAGCTTCTTTATTATGCTAAAGCTAGATTTTATACTAGCTTCTTTATTATGCTAAAGCTAGATTTTATACTAGCTTCTTTATTATGCTAAAGCTAGATTTTATACTAGCTTCTTTATTATGCTAAAGCTAGACATTTCATACTAGCTTCTTTATTATGCTAAAGCTAGATTTTATACTAGCTTCTTTATTATGCTAAAGCTAGAGATTTTATACTAGCTTCTTCATGATGCCACAGCTCATCACCAGCGGCTACACCACCTCTGCTGTTCCAACCACTCCCCTCTCATCTGCACTTTATGCTACTGTAACTTTATGCTACTGTAACTTTATGCTACTGTAACTTTATGCTACTGTAACTTTATGCTACTGTAACTTTATGCTACTGTAACTTTATGCTACTGTAACTTTATGCTACTGTAACTTTATGCTACTGTAACTTTATGCTACCGTCACTTTACTGCCAGGTTTGTGACTCGTTACTCTCAGGGCGGTAAAGTACTTGTGATTAGTATCTTTGAAGTGCCGGGTGTGTGTCTGCAGCGACGGCTCAGGATGTGGTTTGTCGTCGTCACTGGAGCAGAACTGTTTCTTTTTATGTCTGACGCAAACTCACAACTGTTCAGCTCTGCACCTCTGCAAAAACTCCCGCTTCCCACGTCAGCCTTTCCACGGACGTCTGGAGCCGAGCCGAGCTGGGCCAAACCGAGCCAAACGGAGACAGGACTGTAACCTCCCGCCATAACAACGCTTCCTTCCCCTCTGAACACTCATCACTGAACAAACTACTGCCATTTTAACTCACAGTTATCATCTTTACTGCTTTCAGTCAAACCAATGGTCGGGTTTTCACCAAATATAATAAAATGTATAAAAATATAGAGGTAGGGATTCAAAAGGTTTTTTTTTTAGCTTTTTTACTTTTGCTTACTTTTCATAAGAGCTAAAAAAGTTTGTGGAAAGGCCAAATGCTAACTGCTAACGGTAAAAGGTGTGTTGCTATGGTAAACGGTGTGTTGCTATAGTAAACGTTGTGTTGCTATGGTAAACGGTGTGTTGCTATAGTAAACGGTGTGTTGCTATAGTAAACGATGTGTTGCTATAGTAACCAGCGCTTGCTCTTCAAAGATAAAACTAATTATTTTTAAAATATGAACAGACTTTTTACTAAAGCAGTACAGACCAGAGAGAGACCAGAGAGAGACCAGAGAGAGAGACCAGAGAGAGACCAGAGAGACCAGAGAGAGACCAGAGAGAGACCAGAGAGAGACCAGAGAGAGACCAGAGAGAGACCAGAGAGAGACCAGAGAGAGACCAGAGAGAGACCAGAGAGAAAGACCAGAGAGAGACCAGAGAGAGACCAGAGAGAGAGACCAGAGAGAGACCAGAGAGAGACCAGAGAGAGACCAGAGAGAGACCAGAGAGAGAGACCAGAGAGAGACCAGAGAGACCAGAGAGAGAGACCAGAGAGAGACCAGAGAGAGACCAGAGAGAGACCAGAGAGAGACCAGAGAGAGACCAGAGAGAGACCAGAGAGAAAGACCAGAGAGAGACCAGAGAGAGACCAGAGAGAGAGACCAGAGAGAGACCAGAGAGAGACCAGAGAGAGACCAGAGAGAGAGACCAGAGAGAGACCAGAGAGAGACCAGAGAGAGACCAGAGAGAGACCAGAGAGAGACCAGAGAGAGACTAGAGAGAAAGACCAGAGAGAGACCAGAGAGAGAGACCAGAGAGAGACCACAGAGAGAGACCAGAGAGAGACCAGAGAGAGACCAGAGAGAGACCAGAGAGAGAGAGAGACCAGAGAGAGTCCAGAGAGAGACCAGAGAGAGACCAGAGAGAGTCCAGAGAGAGTCCAGAGAGAGACCACAGAGAGAGACCAGAGAGAGTCCAGAGAGAGACCACAGAGAGACCAGAGAGAGACCAGAGAGAAACCAGAGAGAAACCAGAAAGAGACCAGAGAGAGGCCAGAGAGGGACCAGAGAGAGACCAGAGAGAGACCAGAGAGAGAGACCAGAGAGAGACCAGAGAGAGCTTTCCCATTTGGCTCAGCTCCTTCTTCACCCAGTCCACAGCCCCTCACTGATCCTCCTGCTCCTCCTGGTCCTCACTGATCCTCCTGCTCCTCCTGGTCCTCACTGATCCTCCTGCTCCTAATGGTCCTCAATGATTCTCCTGCAGGTGCTGAGTCCACAGGAGCCCTGATCTTTCAGCGGGGTCTTCAGGCAAAGTGGGGTTAAGTGTCTTGCCCAAGGACACAACGACAGCCAATTCTCTACCAAGCACAGGGACTGGCCTCCTGCTGAAGGAGCACAGGGATTGGCCTCCTGCTGGGACTCTCAGGAGCACAGGGACTCTGAGGAGCACAGGGATTGGCCTCCTGCTGGGACTCTCAGGAGCACAGGGACTGGCCTCCTGCTGGGACTCTGAGGAGCACAGGGACTCTGAGGAGCACAGGGACTGGCCTCCTGCTGGGACTCTGAGGAGCACAGGGACTCTGAGGAGCACAGGGACTGGCCTCCTGCTGGGACTCTGAGGAGCACAGGGACTCTGAGGAGCACAGGGACTGGCCTCCTGCTGGGACTCTGAGGAGCACAGGGACTCTGAGGAGCACAGGGACTGGCCTCCTGCTGGGACTCTGAGGAGCACAGGGACTCTGAGGAGCACAGGGACTGGCCTCCAGCTGGGATTCCGAAGCACTGCTAATCATTATGTACTTGTATGAATAAACTTAGAAGCACTGCTAACCACTTACAGCTGCATTATTGAGTCCTCGCTGTGGTTTGAAGCTCAGTAAGGGATGGACGAATAAACTTCTGCTCTGACCTCATCTCAGACTTCTGTAAACGACTTCTGCTTTAGCGCCCTGTGAATTCTTAAGTGTGTGTGTCTGTGTGTGTGTGTGTGTGTGTGTATGTGTGTGTGTGTGTGTGTGTGTGTGTGTGTGTGTGTGTGTGTGTGTGTGTGTGTGTGTGTGTCTGTGTGTGTGTGTGTGTCTGTGTGTGTGTGTGTGTGTGTGTGTGTGCGTGTGTGTGTGTGTGTGTGTGTGTGCGCATCTCTGTGTTTGTGTGTGCGTGTATCTACGTGTGTGTGTTTGTATCTGTGTGTGGGGAATCTGTGTGTGTATCTGTGTGTGTGTGTTTGTGCGCGTGTGTGTGTGTGCGCACGTGCTTGCGTGTGTGTGTGTGTGTGTTGTGTGTGTTGCAGTGACAGGAAACCAGAAGATGTAAATGAACACGGAAGACTTTGAAACCCGTCGTTCTTTACAAACAGCACAAAAATGCAGCTTCAAATTGTAGTAATGAATGTAGAAGCATGGCTAACCACTGTAAATATGTATTAAAGAAGTTAGAAGCACAGCTAACCACCTCTAAGCTTTATTAATGAACTTACAAGCTCGGACAGCCTATCAAAATGTGTATTCACACACTTAGAAGCATGGCTAACCACCTCAAACAACTATGAATGAACTTAGTGGTTCCTCTGGTCCTGTGAAACCAGTACCAGGTCCTTCTTTAGTCCCTCTTGGTCCTGGTTCTATCGAGGCCGAGCTGGTACTAAAGTGTTCTAACTGACAGTGATTGGTCAGAGAGATGCTGGAAGCCATGGAAACCAAGGAATTTCCACAGATACTGGTTTGTTGTGGGGAGTTTTCTAGGATACAAAACCAGATACTAAACGTAATGGAAACGCTACCATGTAGATTCAAGCAGAGGAGAGAAGTAGAGTAGAGTAGAGTACAGTACAGTACAGTAGAGCAGAGTAAGACTACAGTACAGCAGAGTAGAGTATAGTAAAGTACAGAAGAGAAGAGTAGAGTACAGTAGAGTAGAGTAAGAGTACAGTAGAGTAGAGTAGAGTAAGAGTACAGTACAGTAGAGTAGAGTAGAGTAGAGTAGAGTAAGAGTACAGTACAGTACAGTACAGTAGAGTACAGTACAGTACAGTAGAGTAAGAGTAGAGTAGGAGTAGAGTAGAGTAGAGTAAGAGTATAGTAGAGTAGAGTAAGAGTATAGTATAGTAGAGTAGAGTAAGAGTATAGTAGAGTAGAGTAGAGTAAGAGTACAGTACAGTAGAGTACAGTACAGTAGAGTAAGAGTAGAGTAGAGTAGAGTAGAGTAGAGTAGAGTAAGAGTATAGTAGAGTAGAGTAGAGTAAGAGTATAGTAGAGTAGAGTAGAGTAAGAGTATAGTAGAGTAGAGTAGAGTAGAGTAAGAGTATAGTATAGTAGAGTAGAGTAAGAGTATAGTAGAGTAGAGTAGAGTAAGAGTACAGTACAGTAGAGTATAGTAGAGTAGAGTAAGAGAGTACAGTACAGTACAGTACAGTACAGTAGAGTAGAGTACAGTACAGTAGAGTACAGTAAAGTACAGTAGAGTAGAGTACAGTAGAGTACAGTAAAGTAGAGTAGAGTACAGTTAAGTAGAGTAGAGTAGAGTAGACTACAGTTAAGTACAGTAGAGTAGAGTAGAGTACAGTAGAGTAGAGTAGAGTACAGTACAGTAAAGTAGAGTAGAGTACAGTTAAGTACAGTAGAGTAGAGTAGAGTACAGTAAAGTAGAGTAGAGTACAGTTAAGTACAGTAGAGTAGAGTAGAGTACAGTAAAGTAGAGTAGAGTACAGTTAAGTACAGTAGAGTAGAGTAGAGTAAAGTACAGTAGAGTAGAGTAGAGTACAGTTAAGTACAGTAGAGTAGAGTAGAGTACAGTACAGTACAGTAGAGAAGAGTACAGTTAAGTACAGTAGAGTAGAATAGAGTACAGTAAAGTAGAGCAAAGTACAGTAGAGTAGAGTACAGTAAAGTAGAGTACAGTACAGTTAAGTACAGTAGAGTAGAGTAAAGTAGAGTAGAGTACAGTAGAGTAGAGTACAGTAGAGTACAGTAGAGTACAGTAGAGTAGAGTAAAGTAGAGTATAGTAGAGTAGAGTAGGGTAGAGTAAGAGTACAGTACAGTAGAGTACAGTACAGTACAGTAGAGTAGAGTTAAAGTAGAGTAGAGTAAGAGTACAGTAGAGTAGAGTAGAGTAGAGTAGAGTAGAGTAGAGTAAGAGTACAGTACAGTAGAGTAAGAGTAAGAGTAGAGTACAGTAGAGTAGAGTACAGTACAGTAGAGTAAAGTAGAGTAGAGTAGAGTACAGTAAAGTACAGTAGAGTAGAGTACAGTAGAGCACAGTAAAGTAAAGTAGAGTAGAGTAGAGTAGAGTACAGTTAAGTACAGTAGAGTAGAGTAGAGTAGAGTAAAGTAGAGTAAAGTAGAGTAGAGTAGAGTAGAGTAGAGTAGAGTAGAGTAGAGTAGAGTAGAGTAAAGTAGAGTAGAGTAGAGTAGAGTAGAGTAGAGTTTTCATATTCTAAATTAAATGTATTTATTTTGATTTTAATCATTGATATCATGAGTAAACCCTGTTCTGAGCTGCAGAGAGTTAACCACTCAGCCACTCTGCTGAAATGGAAGCATTAGGTTTTCCCGCCATCGACAAAACAGAAATGTAAAATATTCAAGAAACAATCCACATGAAAGAAAAACGGTCAAGTCTCTCTCTGGTCTCTCCCTGGTCTCTCTCTCTGGTCTCTCTCTGATCTCTCTCTGATCTTTCTCTGGTCTCTCTCTGGTCTCTCTCTGGTCCCTCTCTGGTCTCTCTCTGGTCTCTCTCTGGTCTCTCTCTGGTCTCTCTCTGGTCTCTCTCTGGTCTCTCTCTGGTCTCTCTCTGGTCTCTCTCTGGTCTCTCTGGTCTCTCTCTGGTCTCTCTCTGGTCTCTCTCTGGTCTCTCTCTGCTCTCTCTGGTCTCTCTCTGGTCTCTCTGGTCTCTCTCTGGTCTCTCTCTGGTCTCTCTCTGGTCTCTCTCTGGTCTCTCTCTGGTCTCTCTCTGGTCTCTCTATAGTCTCTCTCTGGTCTCTCTCTGGTCTCTCTCTGGCCTCTCTATAGTCTCTCTCTGGTCTCTCTCTGGTCTCTCTCTCTGGTCTCTCTCTCTCTGTCTCTCTCTATAGTCTTTCTCTGGTCTCTCTCTGGTCTCTCTCTGGTCTCTCTATAGTCTCTCTCTGGTCTCTCTCTGGCCTCTCTATAGTCTCTTTCTGGTCTCTCTCTGGTCTCTCTCTGGTCTCTCTCTGGTCTCTATCATAAACTCCACTCATTTAAAACCAAACTTAAAATCAATACAGATGTTTTTTCAGACAGTACTTACAGCTGCTCAGCGCGACGGCAGCGACACAGACCAGGATCCTGAGCGTGTGGAAGTGCGCCATGTCTACAGCGGACACCGGGACATACACACCAAGGAAACACGCCAAAAAACACTAAAAACCCACCATGAAAACACAAAAAAACTCTTAAAAAAAGACTAAAATTAACTAAAAAACCACACAAAAAACCTCCAAAAAAATGCTAAAAAATACAAAAAAAACTCACTTATAAAAACATTAACTAATCGCCCTAAAAGCAGTGAAAAAGGGTGATAAAAGCGGCTGGAGCGAGTGGCTGTGGCTCCGCCGTGACATGGGCGCAGGCTGCTCTCTGCTTCCTCAAAAAGAGCGATCGTAGCGAGAGAAGAAAGCACTTGTTTCTCTGACGCAGATAACAGGAAACGTGAGGCTCCAATGGTGAGTCAGGCGTAGTTATTTATGTAGCACACCTCACAGACCCAGGCCCAGGCCCAGGTCCAGGTCCAGGTCCAGGGTGGTGGAATACTGGACTTGAAAACTATGGGGAGAGTTAAAAGTCAGATTTTAGCTTAATTTTGAAACTGATTTCTTTGTAATCGCTGCAACGATCCACATGAGACCAAACTGGGAGACCAGAGAGAGACCAGAGAGAGAGACCAGAGAGAGAGACCAGAGAGAGACCAGAGAGAGACCAGAGAGAGAGACCAGAGAGAGACCAGAGAGAGACCAGAGAGAGAGACCAGAGAGAGACCAGAGTGAGACTAGAGAGAGACCAGAGAGAGACCAGAGAGAGACCAGAGAGAGAGACCAGAGAGAGACCAGAGAGAGACCAGAGAGAGAGACCAGAGAGACCAGAGTGAGACCAGAGAGAGACCAGAGAGAGACCAGAGAGAGAGACCAGAGAGACCAGAGTGAGACTAGAGAGAGACCAGAGAGAGACCAGAGAGAGACCAGAGAGAGAGACCAGAGAGACCAGAGAGAGACCAGAGAGAGAGACCAGAGAGAGACCAGAGTGAGACCAGAGAGAGACCAGGAGAGAGACCAGAGAGAGAGACCAGAGAGACCAGAGTGAGACTAGAGAGAGAGAGAGACCAGAGAGAGACCAGAGAGAGACCAGAGAGAGAGAGACCAGAGAGAGACCAGAGAGAGACCAGAGAGAGAGACCAGAGAGACCAGAGTGAGACTAGAGAGAGACCAGAGAGAGACTAGAGAGAGACCAGGGCGGCACGGTGGCTGAGTGGATAGCACTCTCGCCTCTCAGCAAGAAGGTCCTGGGTTCGAATCCCGGTCGGACCAGGGCCTTTCTGAGTGGAGTTTGCATGTTCTCCCCGTGTCTGCGTAGGTTTCCTCCGGGTACTCCGGTTTCCCCTACCACTAAAAATATGTCCAATAGATCTGGCATGCGCTTCCTGTACTGGCGACCCCGCTCCCATCTCTGTGTGGAGTGAGAGACAAATGCCCAAAATTAACAATTGTAAACCGCTTTGAGACTCAGATCTGCAGTGAAAAGGCGGTATATAAATAAAAACTTACTTACTAACTTACTTACTTACAGAGAGACTAGAGTGAGACTAGAGAGAGACCAGAGAGAGAGACCAGAGTGAGACTAGAGAGAGACCAGAGAGACCAGAGAGAGACTAGAGAGAGACCAGAGAGAGAGACCAGAGTGAGACTAGAGAGAGACCAGAGAGAGAGACCAGAGTGAGACTAGAGAGAGACCAGAGAGAGACCAGAGTGAGACTAGAGAGAGACCAGAGAGAGACTAGAGTGAGACTAGAGAGAGACCAGAGGGTGTAACATTTACAATAATGGTTCGAGTGTGAGACAGACTCGTTCAGAGATAATAGATTCTGTTTCTTTCCACTGCACAGGACTGAGGAGCTCCTTCAGTGGAAGAAGGAGCAGGGCCTTTATCCCCACCGCTGTCAGACTGTACAACAAGTCACTTTAAGTCACTGTATAAGACTGAAAAACCTGCACTAATATTGACACTGTTTCTGATTGCTACTTTTTTTATTGTACATAAAATATCCTGCATTTAACATTTCCTCCCCTTTGCACAATCTTTCCATGTTCTGTCCACGACAAATGTGACATGTACATTTGTCTTTTGTGACATAAATAAAGAATATCTTTTCTTATCCGGACATTTCAAAACTTTCTTGTTTGTTACAAAATGGCACTTCTGCACTTGTGAAACTCGCCCACCACATCCTCAGCACCCTCACTGCAGCAGAGAGAGACCAGAGACACCAGAGAGAGACCAGAGAGACTAAAGAGAGACCAGAGAGAGACCAGAGAGAGACCAGAGAGAGACCAGAGAGACTAAAGAGAGACCAGAGAGAGACCAGAGAGAGACCAGAGAGAGACCAGAGAGACTAAAGAGAGACCAGAGAGAGACCAGAGAGAGACCAGAGAGAGACCAGAGAGAGACCAGAGAGAGACCAGAGAGAGACCAGAGAGAGAGACCAGAGAGAGACCACAGAGAGAGACCAGACAGTTTTTAGAGTTGAACCAAAATAGTTTGAATCACACGTTTTAAACCTGACACTTTTCAGAACCAGAAGAGGAACCAGATCAAACTCTGAGAAACGCGAGAAACAGTTTTCAGTCGTTTGAGGAAGTGGAGGTTCCTCTGGCTCCGCCTCCTCCTCAGGCTCCGCCTCCTCCTGCAGCTTCATAAGAACGCAGCCTTAAAAATAGACGCCGCAGTCATGTCCCCTGACCTCGCATGTCGTACAATACTGTGCAATACTGTCAGAGTGTGCAATACAGGAGCACATGTGTCCCTGTGTCCCCGGAGCCTGGAGCTGAAGAGCCAATAAGAACACGGCTTTGTGACGTTTCTTAGTTTTGATGATTTCAATAAACTTTGTAACTGTAAATGTGCAGATGTATGCACAGTGGAGCCCCCTGCTGGCCTGGAGGCTCCTCCAACAGAAATGTGAACCTCGGGAAAACCACAGTCTCTTCTCGGTCCAGGGTCAAAACTCTGGATCTCTCCCAGTCCCAGCTCAAACTGAACTGGGACTGGGCTGGTTTCAAACACAAACTGAAACCAAATTTTAAATCCAAACGTGTTGACGCCTTTGTAAGATGTGAACCAAACAATGTCAAATGTGTGAAAGGTTCTTCTCGGAGCATTGTCAGCGTCATCGTTGCAGAGAAAGAAGGAAATAAGACTCAGACGCACACATCAGAGTCTATCATTTGTAAATGTGCACTTTATTAATCTCCGTAGAGAAATCCATCCTCTGCATTTGACCCATCCTGATGCCCCTAAGGCTTACGTCAGGAGCAGTGGTCGCCGAACGATAAATCCTTTTAAATGCATTAACGTGTTTGTCTCGGTCTCTCCAGATTGAAAATGTTTTACTTCTGTTTTTGATACGGATAATTGTGCAGCAGTTTGGAAACATGTTTTATATAATGTGCTTTACGAATAAAGTGGAAGTGGATTAGGTTAAGCTAAAGTTAGAGATGCTATGCTAACTTCTTTATTATGCTAAAGTTAGAGATGCTATGCTAACTTCTTTATTATGCTAAAGCTAGAGATGCTATGCTACAGTAGCTTCTACAGTATATGATGCTAAAGCTAGTATAGAGTATTTCTCTGTGCTGTGTTCTCCTCATTCCTGTTCAGTAACTGTGCGATGCAACACTGACATTTCCTCACAGTGGGTCCAATAAATGATCTGTGATCTTTACTTTAATCTCTAACTTGCCGTGAGTTTGTGTTATTTGTGGCAGTAGTGTTAAAGATGCACTTCCTGATTACCAGAATCACACGAGCTCCAGATTTAGAGTCAGATACTGAGAAGACATCGGACACTTTTCAAAGTAGTTAATCTGTTTTAAAGAAAGAGGTGGGGGCTGTCTACTGTCTGGGGCGACAGTAGCTCAGTTGGTAGAGCATTGGCCTTTGGGCCTGGAGGTCGTGAGTTCGATTCCCACCATGGGACCTGCTCCCACTGATGACTGCTGTCGTTGTGTCCTTGGGCAAGACACTTAACCCCACGTTGCCTGAAGCCCCCGCTGAAAGATCAAGGCGGTTTCTCAACTGACGGAGCAGCCATCTTCCTGTGGACTCACCCCCTGCAGAGGATCAGTGAGGGACTGGTGCTATGAGCGTTGGGTGGCAGCTCTCATTGCCAACCCCCCCGACCCAGAAATGGACAAATAAAGGGGTTGAAAATGAAATGAAATGAAATGAAAGAGGTTTGTTCTATTTATTTATGTATCGCCACAAACCTCCGCAGCAGCGGCTCAGAGGACGATGCAAAGTTGTGGATTCACCAAAAGCAGATCAGAAAATCAAACAGATCAAACAAAAGTAAAAAAGAACAGACACAGAGAAGATATTGGTTCAAGGGGAAAGGGATGTTGCAGGACTGAGGTCCTCTCTCTGGTCTCTCTCTGGTCTCTCTCTGGTCTCTCTCTGGTCTCTCTCTGGTCTCTCTCTGGTCTCTCTCTCTGGTCTCTCTCTGGTCTCTCAATGGTCTCTCTCTGGTCTCTCTCTCTGGTCTCTCTCTGGTCTCTCTCTGGTCTCTCTCTGGTCCCTCTCTCTGGTCTCTCTCTGGTCTCTCAATGGTCTCTCTCTGGTCTCTCTCTGGTCTCTCTCTGGTCTCTCTCAGGTCTCTCTCTGGTCTCTCTCTGGTCTCTCTCTCTGGTCTCTCTCTGGTCTCTCTCTCTGGTCTCTCTCTCTGGTCTCTCTCTGGTCTCTCTCTAGTCTCTCTCTCTGGTCTCTCTCTCTCTGGTCTCTCTCTTTGGTCTCTCTCTGGTCTCTCTCTCTGATCTCCCTCTCTGGTCTCTCTCCCTGGTCTCTCTCTCCCTGGTCTCGCTCTCTCTGGTCTCTCTCTGGTCTCTCTCTGGTCTCTCTCTCTCTGGTCTCTCTCTGGTCTCTCAATGGTCTCTCTCTGGTCTCTCTCTCTGGTCTCTCTCTGGTCTCTCTCTGGTCTCTCTCTGGTCTCTCTCTCTGGTCTCTCTCTGGTCTCTCTCTGGTCTCTCTCTGGTCTCTCTCTCTGGTCTCTCTCTGGTCTCTCAATGGTCTCTCTCTGGTCTCTCTCTCTGGTCTCTCTCTGGTC